TTACCAAAAAATAAAAAAGTTCCACTTTAATTTTATTTGAAAGTTTGTCATCAATTATAATCTATTTTGCCTTCCTAAAAGAAAGACAACTGTTGAAAACCAGTGAAAAATAAAATGTATTGACTTTTTAGTTAATTTCCATTTTTATGAAAATATATTCAAGTTTTGTATACTTTGAATATAATTAAATTTTTTTAAATCTTTTTTATCATTTTTGTCAGTGGAATGCCATTGATGAAAATCTGGCTTAAATAACATAACCGGTAATTTTGCTGAAATGAAAGCAGAATTTTTATGGGATAAATATATAGGAAATGTATTAGCTTTATATGTCTTTATTTCTCATCCAAAATCATCAGTCAATCAACATTATACCCAGACAGGTGCAATAATTAAGTACTGTCATCTTTTATATTTTGCTGTCTTTCGTTCATATAAAAACGTTTTTATTTTATCATAAATGTTTACTTGTCAAAGTTGGAGGTTATCCCTCCAACTTAACGGTAGAGGAAGAGGAGTTAACGGTGTGTTAGGTTGACTTATAACTATTTAGACTGATAGTAGTTCAATGTCTATTTGTACACTTGCCCAGCCCCCCTGATCTTAGGGGCAGGCTTCATGCCAGCCTATATGAAGACAGTATTCAGGTGAGAAGACACAAGAAATAAGTAAGCGAACAGATGAGGTCGATCAGGTAGTCGTAAGCGCTGTGCAGAAAATAGAAGCTTGGTGTATTTGATGGACAGAAAGAAGCTCTTTCTGTGACTGGAATGGAGTAAATGTCAAGATCAGTCCTGTCCGGGATGATCTCCGTATTGTCAAGAATTTGCAGTCAGGTCTCAGCTTAAATGTTCCCTCCTCAGAGATTTCTTCTCCAACCACTCAAACTAACGATGTCTTTTCTCTGTCACCCCTATCGTATGGCTTTGTAGCAGGATCATTAGAGTCCTTCTCACATTCCTTGATGCTTTTCTGGTTTATCTTTTTGCTTACAGTTTGTCTGTCTCTTCCTGGTGGTATGTGGAGTCCATAAGAGTAGAAAGGCCAGCTGTCTTATTTACCACTATATGCCTAGCCTGGCTTAAAGGACACATGGAATGAATCAAAGTATCATTACTATGTATTAAAAGGGGTGGGGTGAAGGAGGGAGACTATCTTTAAAAAAAACAACTCGTGGAGCACCTGGGTGGCATTTAATCCAATTGAGCACTGAAGTCCCCTTTGACAGTTCAGTTTGCAGTGGTCAAAAGCTCTAGGGGCTCAGTGGGTTAAGTGTCTAACTTCAGCTCAGGTCATGATCTCATGGTTCGTGGGTTCGAGCCCTGCGTCGGGCTCTGTGCTGACAGCTCAGAGCCTGGATCCTGCTTCGGATTCTGTCTGTCTGTCTTTCTCTCTCTCTCTGCCCTTCCCTGCTCACACTCTCTCTCTCAAAAAGAAATAAACATTAAAAATTTTTAAGAAAAAAAGAAAAAAAAAAACCAACTCATTTATTCAGATCACTCTTAGAAACTGTGGGGGTGGAAATAGAGTCCTTGCCCTGAATAGTGATTGAAATGAGGAACAAAATTCATTGCTCTGTCATAATGACATCCCTCATCAGATGAAAGAACATATGGTTAAAATTCCATCTCTGAAAGCCATGTTTATCCTTGCATCAAGAAATACGTATCAGTCATAGCTAAAATTATGGATTTAATGAATGTAAAATAGCAAAAGCCATGAAAAGAATTTTTAGGTAGAAGCAATGGAGAACAACACACGCCGTACAACTGATATTTTAAATTCAAATAACAACTGCAAAAGTAAGTTTGCTCTGTTCCTCAAATGAGTAATCAAACTGGGAGATGGGCATATAGTCACAAAATCCAAGGAAGAGATCATCAGAAAACAATCAGGAATATATCCAGAGAATTCTTCTAAAATGGAGAAAAATATCTAATTCAAAATCACAGTATATTTTAAAGTAAATGCTTTTTAAAAATATATATATGTATATATACATGCTGTGTATATATACCATACATATATATATTTCATATATATGTATATGAAACTTTGACTTGTTTTCTTACTTTCCTAGTTTACGTCCAAAGTAAAATTCAACATGGCACCGTATACCGTTGGAACTGACATAAAAAGGCATAAAACATTTCAACATGGAGCAAGCCAGCCGAGCTGAGCCTAGCTCTTTTAGGCAGGGTCGAGAGGCCAGAAAGGAGGAAGGCTTTAGGCACGTCCTCACAGGAGGAACCATGAACTTTTTGCCAGCTACAAGCCTTCAGCCTGGACTTCACTCCCTCATCACCATGACACCTGGATCTTTCCAATTAAGGAGGCAATTCAATTTGACAAGTTTCAATCCCTCATTTATCTATTAATCCAACCAATCCCAGTTAACCTACTTTTAATCCCTATTTTGCATAGAGGACCTAAATGAAAACTGTACTCGTGACCTTTCACCTTTAGATCTCTGCCCCCTCTTTGTCTTCTTCAGAGTGCAATTCAGGTTTCTATCTGACTCTGTCTTCCGAATTGCAATTCTCACTGCCCAAATAAATGCCAAGTTGCTTAAATTCTCTGTGAATTCTTTCCTGGTAGATGAAGAGTTGAACCAAATACCTGTAGCACTTTTTCTTTTTAACATTTTCATTTTGATAAAGCTTTAAAAAAATACTCAGAATTTTGTTTTAAAGTGGAAAAGCAAATATGCTTTGTGGATAAACTGGTACTGGTTTTCATTTTTTTACTACTTTAACTTCTCCCTAAGTTGATTGCTCTTGTTAAGCAAAATTCTCTTGACACATTAGAACACAAAAATTCCTTTGAGAGGTCTGCTTGGTTGGGTGAAATAGATATCACCAGAAGTTAAAAAGATCATGTTATTTTCCTAAGGCAATTAACACCACATAGTTATTATTGTAAAAGATTATTAACTACCTACAGATATTTTGGAGGTTGTTTTGAATGCTGTTAAAGCAAAACAGCAAAAGACTGTGCTAATGGGGCACCTGGGTGGCTCAGCTGGTTAAGAGTCGGACTTTGGCTGAGATCATGACCTCACAGGTTAGCGAGTTTGAGCCCTGCATCTGGCTTGCTGCTGTCAGCAAAGCCAGTTTGGGATCCTCTGTCTCTGTCTCTCTTTCTCTCTCTCGTTTCCTAGCTTGCGCGCTTCTTTCTCAAAACAAAACAAAAACAAAAAGCCATTAAAAAAAAAAAAGACTGTGTTAATAAAAGGCAGAGAATACTTGTTAAGTATATAAGCAGGGAGCCCCCAAATTTGTAACTGTGTTTCCAACAATCTTCAGGGAAAAGGGTGACTAAAAGAGTGACATCCTGGTACGGAAGAAAGTTCCATCACTTGAGAGTAATGAATGCATCCAGAAAAAGATGTAGGATATCCCATTACTCCAGCGACCTGGATAGCTTCTTGGAGAGACCACTCCGCTCCCTTTTGTAGTACCTACCACCTGCTTCGGAAACAGATGGTGGTATAGCCATGTTATTCAGCACCATTAACCTATATATTAAGAATATTATTCAGCAACATTAACCTATAATGATGCCAAGACCAGTGGTTGCCTGCGGCCAGGTGTAGGAGTGGGCATCACAGCAAAGGGGCAAGAGGAAACTTTTGGAGGCAATGGAAACTTCCTATGTCCTGAATGGGGAGAGTTACATCTGCATTTGTTAAAACTCATAGAACTGTTGAACTGAGTTGGGCAATTTGGTTTGTATATTGTATCTCAACAGGGTTAACTTTTTTTTTTAATTTTTTTTTCAACGTTTATTTATTTTTGGGGCAGAGAGAGACAGAGCATGAATGGGGGAGGGGCAGAGAGAGAGGGAGACACAGAATCGGAAACAGGCTCCAGGCTCTGAGCCATCAGCCCAGAGCCCACGCGGGGCTCGAACTCACGGACCGTGAGATCGTGACCTGGCTGAAGTCGGACGCTTAACCGACTGCGCCACCCAGGCGCCCCCCAACAGGGTTAACTTTAAAATAAAATTTAAAAAATTAAGTATGCGTTTTCCAGGAATGCAAAGTGGTCGGTGACAGGATGGTCCCCAAGATCCAAGGCGGTGGCAACCACCATTCATAGAGCGGCTCGCATCGTTCGATCAGCAGCTCACCTCATGAAATTCTCAGCCTTTCCCCACTTCATAGAGAAGGTAACAAACTCAGATGAAATAATTCGGTGGAGCTCAGGGGCGCTAGCGCCGGGATTTGAGCCCACTCAACGTGACTTCATAGCTCACATTTTTAACCGCTGGCTAATCTGCTGGTACACAGTGAAAGCTGGATAAACGTATGTTGAATGAATGGTTCCAGCTACAGATCCCTAACGCTCACAAAAGTGTAGCCCTGAGACTGAAACCCTCAGGCACAAAGCCCGGCGCGGACCGCCAGCCCCAGCACAGGAGCCGGACCCAACCCAGACCCAGAGCCTGAAATCTGGCACGGCGAAGGGGCGGGGCTTCGACGTAGGGAGGCGGAGCCATCGTATCGTACTTCTGGCAAGCTTGTACCTCTTCTCTTGCCGTAGTGCCTGAAACCGGAAGCCCCTGTGAAGCATGCTTTGAATTTCCGGGCGAGAGCCGGCCGCTTTGGTAGCATGTGGGAACTGCCGTGAAGGCTGGTCACTCCGGACTTGCGTCCCGAATTCGAGCTCTCGGTGAGCAGGAGCTGCAGGGGAGTAGACGGTGTACCAAGGGAGGGTGAGGTGTCCGCGGGTTTTCGAGTCTCGCGTGGTCGGGGCTGAAGAAAGCCACGGCGCGGCCCCAGGAACCTGCGTTAACGCTGTTGCTGTGGCGTCTGTACCCTGGGGTCCGGGAGTCCCGGGACAGCCGGCTGTGTGTCCGTGACGGCGCTGAGTGCGAAGAAAGTTACTTGTATGCGAGGCATTAGAGGCTCGTGGTTCAGCCACCTGTGGTTTTCTAGAGACTTCTCACAGTGTCTTTGTTTTTTAGCCTGTGTTTTTAGAAATCCGCCTGCGTGGGAGATGACGTCCTTAGCCCAGCAACTCCAACGCCTCGCCCTCCCTCAGAGTGACCGCAGTCTGTTATCGAGAGATGAAGTTCCTTCTTTGTTGTTTGACCCCAAGGAAGCGGCCACCATCGACAGGGACACCGCTTTTGCCATTGGTGAGCTACCCGTTAATTAAGAAAAGGTCTTCGAAACACCTGTTTTGGGGATGTTGCTGTATTGTTTTCTCTTCTGACCCTCCCTCTTCCGTTAAGAGTTTCCAGTTTGTTGACTTATGTTGTTCAGAGAAAGAGGATAACAAATAACTATGTGCTTGATGCTTGAAACGTGGCAGTATCTGAATTTCACAGATGAAGAGACAAAGGTTGGGAGGTTAACTAATGTGTGGAGTGGACAGTCAAAAAGAGGCTGGAGGCGTGGCTGGGGTCGAGGAGGAGCCTTCCCAATTCCTACGGGAACTGGCCTGATTCTTGCAAGGGATTTTTTTTTTTTTTTTTTTTTAAAGAATGGTACCTGCCAGGCAGAACTTTCTGTTCTGGTTGGGGAGATGATTTGTTTTTTATGTTGAAAACTAGAAATCTATGTTTGGGACTGTATTACAGGTTATACAAGATTTTTAGGGATAAGTAAAACTGAGTTTGCTTGCACAGAATTGTTAAAAATACACTGTCCTTTTCCTAGGATGCACTGGCCTGGAAGAGCTGCTTGGGATCGATCCTTCCTTTGAGCAGTTTGAAGCACCGTTGTTCAGCCAGCTGGCAAAAACATTGGAGCGCAGCGTTCAGACCAAAGCAGTGAACAAAGAGCTGGATGAAAACATTTCATTATTCCTTATTCACTTGTCCCCTTACTTCCTGCTGAAGCCAGCACAGAAGTGTCTGGAGTGGTTGATTCACAGGTAACAAATTAATTTACAGAAATAACTATGGGCTAACAACTGTGATCTTTTTTTAAAAATTAGGTAATGAGAACACAAGCCAATTTAAAGCTGAGAAATTAGGTCTATGAAGAGGTTAACACGATGTCTGTAAGATGAGATAAGCTTGCCATTCTGTTAAACTCCTTTTGTTGGCAGAAATACAACTACTGGAGATCTTGAGTTAATAGACCAACTATATTAGTTCCAAGGAGCTCACATCACTTTGCCACTACAAACTGTTACCGCGTATTTGGACCAAAGGATATTATTAAACTTCTTTCTTGCCAAAATAACAAAACCAGTGCTTTGGGAAGAAGCAAACAGTATCCTCTAAAATACCGTAACTTAAGAAAAACAACAATAGCTAATGTACATTGAGCATTTACATACCAGGTTCTGTGGTAAGCACTTTGCACGCACCGTCTCAATGCTCACAGCATTCCTACAGGAAGGTACGTGTGTTATCCCCATTGTACACTTTACAAAATTGAGGCATAGAGGGGTTAACTTACCTAGTCACACAACTAGTGATCTGAGATACAAGACTGTTTCCAGGGTTTGACTCTTTGGAAATTGTCTTAGTAAGGATATTCAAGTTTATTTCCTCACTGAATTGGTATCACATCACAGCTTACACACTTTTGTTTATTCTGCCACGTGTTGTATGTTTTAAAAGTAGAAAGAGCTTTATTTCATTAATTGGAGACATGGGGATAAAGTGATTTCCCTTCTGGACACAAGTGAGTCATTAAGAAAACGTTAAGTTTAACTTGGGTCTTCTGATGATCAGAACACTAGAGTCATCAGACAGAAAACAGCAATTCTGTAATATTTCCCTTTTTCTTCTAGCATTTAATTCCTTCCCCCCAGCATTGGTGGGATCATTAGCACAAGGAGTACTTTTTTTAATTTATTCATGTAACTTATTTATTAAGTAAACATTAGATTCAACACAAGGTTAAATAGGCTGCCCTTGGTTATTGTTTTGAAGTAAAGGTGTTTGCAAAGTTTGGGGCTGTTGTGCTGCCTGAAGTAGTTGAGGAAAGCTTCACGAAGAAAGTAGCATCTTGGCGAATAAGTTTAACGTGTAATAGAAATAAGAGGAATCACTTCGCTGGGAGAATCAGGAAAAGCATCCTGAACACGGAAGCATTTGAGCTAGGTCTTCAAGGCTAGAAAGGCTTTAATGTATCTGATGTGGCTAATGAGCCTGTCTTACTATGGTAGAGGGACCAATACAGAGTTGTGTGAAGTTTAGGGACAAATTATATATAGTTGTAATCTGACAATTTCTTCTAATTCAGAGAAAGTAATGTGATTTTAGTCTTCTGGTTTTAGAATTCTGATAAGCTGAGGAAGCTGAACTTTAGAGCATGGAGAGGAGCCGAGCATTGCTGCCTAGTTGACCAGTTGGTTTTCTGTTGATTTGACCACAGTGGTCCTGCAGTTATGTTAATTTAATAGTGTTTGTTTTTTTTTTTTAAGTTGAGAGAAAGTGAATGGGATGTAAATTTTTATATTGAATAGTAAAAACTATTACAGCATAAGAGTTGACGGAACTCTGTTGAGAAGTACTTTAATGCAAAGTAGAGGCTTATCACTTGGTGCTCTTTATCTTGCGTTTCGTCATGTACTTGTTTTTACTGATACTTAATTCTGAGTGGTTCTAGCTCGTTGATAGAGAATCTGGACATGGAAGGAAATATGTGCTTGCAGGTTTTGTGTCATTTCAAATTGCTTGCTTTTCTCCCCCCAGGTTCCATATCCATCTTTATAATCAAGATAGCCTCATTGCTTGTGTTCTACCATACCACGAGACCAGAATATTTGTACGGGTTATACAGCTTCTGAAAATTAATAATCCAAAGCACAAATGGTTTTGGTTGTCACCAGTTAAGGTACGATTGTTGAATGACATGTGTCTATAATCATTACAGGTCTTGATTAAGGGATACAATTTGGAAAAAATGAAGTCCTTAGTGCTCCTACAGGTAGTCCAAGTATTACCTCCATCACTTTTATTTCCTAACTTCTAGTTGAATTTGGCATTTACTTGGCACCTGACATTAGGCTAGGCAATTCTCATTATATTATCTTTGTTTTTCACAAAACTGTTTTTACAGATGAGCACAGGCTAAGAGAATTACTTGCCCGAGTTCAAATAACTATAAAGTGACAGGATTTGAATTTAGATCTGATTTTAAAGTTTATTATCTTTCCACTACACTACTGTCTGACATTTTAGATCTTGGAACTGAACTGAATTGCTTTAAAAAAAATTGGAGGTGAAGAAAAGAAAAATACTTCAAAAAATTAAAAGGATAAGGATGATGGACTTAAGGAAATTATTAAAATTGATTAAAAAAAGATGCTATCATTTAGTCTGTAGATGATTAAAAGGATGGTTGCCTTACAGGAAGGGTCTGGTAAGGATCACTTAGCATGGTTTTGTGATAAAATGACTGATTTGGCCATTTTCACTTTGTTTGCAACATACAGTAGAAGAAAGTACATTTATGTTGACAAGAATTTTACTGAATATTAAGAATGGCAATTCAGGCTAGGAGGAGCACAGATGGGACAAAAGTAGACTAACAGACTGTGGGACCTTGAAAAGAGTTAATTTGATGTGTGATGATAGTGAGGTCAGTGATCAGAATTAGTAAAAAGAAAGGAATGGGAATTTTTAATTGGAAGTACAGTTTAAGAGTTTGGATGTAAAGCACTTGAACCAATGAGTGTTCAAGAAGTGAAAGACAACCCATAATAAAGCTTACCAAACTACTCCCTCTGCTAATATAACATCAAGGTCATTTTTTTTTCCCCTACTCTACACACAGACGCTGATGCTCTCTAGACACATTTGTTTCAGGTATGCAACTCCACTCACCTATTAAAGTTCACTTCAGATTCTCCTTTCTTTTAGTTATTCAGTGTTTATTGAGCACCCCGTACATGCCATGAGTGGTGTAAGCGGTGGGAATAGCAGTATAAGGTTTCTGGGTTCCTAGTCTATCTCTATTACTAGTGTTCTTGTAAAGCAAAGACAACCACAGCACATTGGCTTAAAAACCCAATCTAACTAGTAGAGTTCCTAAGAATGTAGAGAATTCAGATATAGATAAATACATATGAAAATGCAGCACATGGTAAGTAGGCAGTATTCACTGAGTACCTCTACCCCCATTGCTGATCTCTTGGATTTCTAAAGTTTGCACAATTTTATATGTTCATTTCCTCTCTACCACCAGCTATATGGAGAGACTGTATTTTGTATTAACTGCACCAGTACAAAGTTGTACTGTGGTAGGTACTTTAAAAAATGATCAGTTGATCAATATCCCTAATGATGATTGGTTCTTTCTGTCTATAACAGCAACATGGAGTGCCCTTAGCTAGGGGAACTTTGATTACCCACTGCTACAAAGATCTTGGATTCATGGATTTCATTTGTAGTCTGGTGACAAAATCTGTGAAGGTGAGTAGTATCTGGTTCCCTGACTCTCTGATTCCATTAAAAGATTGCTTGCTTTGAGTGAAGAAAGGCATTCCCCGATAACTGTACTTAGAAGAAGTTCCTTTTGTTAAGCGAGCTACTGTTCTGGAACATGAGCAGCTTGAATCAGTCTTTCGTCACAAAAGGTGTTTTCCTACAAAAATAAATTACTCTGTTTCTTGTCAAATTCTGTTTACAGTGACTGTTTAAGAGGGGATCAGAAGTCAGGATTGTTCATTCTTGTCATATTTAATTGAACCATTGCATTTGTGTATTTAATGTTGTATATGGTAAACATAAAAATGTCAGTCTGAAGTAGTGGAGGGGAGCTGTAAACATTCTTATATGTTTATCTAATTGGCCTTGGTTTTTTTTTTTTGTTTTGTTTTGTTTTTGTAACCTGTGCTCTGTGTTTTTTTGTTGTAGGTTTTTGTTGAGTATCCTGGGAGTTCAGCTCAGTTGAGAGTGCTCTTAACTTTCTATGCTTCTACCATCGTGTCTGCTCTAGTGACTGCTGAGGGCGTATTGGATAATATAGTCGCCAAGCTATTTCCATATATCCAAAAGGTTGGTCCTGCTCGGGTGTAGATTATTTTGTACTTGAAGGAGTTTCCTGGCTTTATGAAAATTTCACTTAGACATAACTATTTTTAAGTTGACAGCATAGTTCAGAGGGTTGGCAAGATTTCATTTTTAGGTAAAAAATCTGACTTTTTTGTCTTAAAAACTTGCAAAAGTGGGATCTTATTTAGGGCTCATTAAGAATAAATGTTGGCTATTTGGCCCTGACATTACCTTTCAGATTTGTTTTCTTAGCAGTCATCTTGACTCACTGGAAGCAGAATGGATTAGAAAGTCTCCATCAGGGCATATGCTCTTACTCTTTTTACAGTGACTTCCACTTCTCAGTGTTTCTTCTTCCCAGGTGCTTTGTTGCCTACCTACCACCCTCCCAGATTCCCTGTGGAGGTACTGCTTAGGTACTGCTTTCACTTCCTGCTGGTGTCCCAAAATTACTGTCTTTGTTTTTTTTTTTTTTTTAATGTTTATTTATTTTAGAGAGAGAGAGAGAAACAGAGCATGAGTGGGGCAGGGGCAGAAAGAGAGGAGGAGACACAGAATCCGAAGCAGGCTCCAGGCTCTGAGCTGTCAGCACAGAGCCCGACGCGGGGCTCGAACTCACAGACCGTGAGATCATGACCTGAGTCAGTCGGACGCTTAACCGACTGAGCCTTCCAGGCGCCCCTGTTGTCTTTGTCTCTGAAGTCTCCTTTACACTGGTGGGTGTTTGCCCATAAAAGAAGAGCCTGTTGGCCCTTGTTAGCATATGTAGTGGATTTTCAAGTTGGGAGACCTGCTGAGATCCCTCCTCTCATCCAAGAGATTTAACCTCATCTCTGTGTGCTCAGGAAAGAGGCTAAATTCTGAAGAGTTGTTGACTCTTCAACGTACGTTAGGTAGTATTAATCTCTCATTTATGGCATTTTTAATTTGTCAAGGTAAAGTAACATTTTAAGTAAAGTTAAAAGATACAGCTTATCATTTTTCCTTGTATCTTAAAAACTATTTAGGGGTTGAAATCATCTTTACCAGATTACAGAGCTGCAACGTACATGATAATATGTCAGATTTCTGTGAAAGTGACAATGGAGGACACCTTCGTCAATTCGTTGGCTTCACAGATCATCAAAACGTTGACCAAAATTCCTTCTTTGATCAAGGATGGATTAGGTTGCTTAATAGTGCTCATGCAGAGACAGAAGCCAGAGAGCCTTGGGAAAAAGTACGTACGATTGAATTGGGAAATGATGATAAATACAGGAGAATGAAAGTATTTTGAATAATTCTTTTTAAAGATAAATTGTATACTTTTTTTTTAAATTGCTATATATTATCTGACTTTTGAAGTTAGCATTTTATGTACTTGTTTCTTCAAAGGCCATTTCCTCATTTGTGTAACGTTCCTGATCTTATTACAATACTTCAAGGGATTTCTGAAGTCTATGATGTTAGTCCTCTTCTGCGTTACATGCTTCCCCATCTGGTCGTCTCCATCGTTAATCATATTACAGGTTCGTGGTTGTATATTATGTGTCCAGAAGCGTAACGTCTAAGATTTGATTCTCTTAAAATTGTTAACATCTGTAAGATATTTCAAGTTTGTGCTAATTGTTTTGTGTAATTTTTTTTTTTTTAATGTGAAAAACATTTGAGGTGGGAGTACATTGGTTGAAGGAGATATTTGTTAATTGATATGCTCAGAATTCTGGTGTGTCTTTTTAATGTGTGTTCTATTTTAATGTTTATTTATTTTGAGAGAGAGAGTTTGTGCACAAGTAGGGGAGGGACAGAGAGGGAGAGAGAGAGAATCACAAGCAGGCTCCACACTGTCAGCACAGAGCCTGACACAGAGCTCCATCCCGTAAACCGTGAGCTGCGACCTAAGCCTATACCAAGAGTCAGATGCTTAATCGGCTGAGCCACCCAGGAGCCTCTAATGTGTGTTTTTAAACAATCTCTTCGTTAAAAAGGCTATGGAATTATTTTAAAATGATTAACATATGTTACCCAGTAAAACTTTCCCTTCTCATTTAGATACTTAATGAACTTCAGTGACTCATGTACGACAAATATTCAGTTGCCAAAAAAGTTTTTCTCCTTGGAGTCAATGAACATAAAAGTCCTTTGAGTCACTGAACATGGCAGACCAAGAAAATCGCATACATAAAAAAACCCAAATTTTGGGGCACCTGGATAGCTCAGTCTGACTTAGGCTCAGGTATGATCTCACGGTCCATGAGTTCAAGCCCCATGTCGGGTTCTGTGCTGGCAGCTTGGAGCCTGGGGTCTGCTTAGGATTCTGTGTCTCCCTTTCACGCTCTCTGCCCCTCCCCCACTCACGCTCTGTCTCGATCTCTCAAAAATGAATAAATGTTAAAAAAAAAAAAACACCACATTTTTAAGAAGCCGTAAAAACGGTTATTAAAAATGATTATTTCCATTATATGCTTTTTATCTTTCAATAAATAGAGAAGTACAAGAAGAAATGTTTGGTCCTGTTGCCACTTAGACTAAGAAAAACATACTAGGGAAGACATCTCTAAAGTGTGTCAGTTTATTGGAAAATGAGCTTTCCCTAACCGGATCTTGGTTTAGATATGTGTCAGAGATATGAGTAGCATGTATAAAAGTATATTTTTCCTATTCTGGTGGTGATGTGGTCCCAATCTTTGAAGGCAGGGCTACCAGCTGATTGGTAATATATGTGCAGTAAATGTGGAATAGAAGATGATGGCTCAGTTCAGTAAGGCGCATCAAGATGCAAGCTGAGCCTGCTTTCAGAGCTAGTTTCCTGGGCTCTAGGCTTGGGTCCCAACTTCAACCACTTGTAATATGACCTGGCACAACTATGTTTTGGACCTCTGTTTTATAAATAAAGCATGGAAAACTTGTTTTTAAAAACGTAGAGAATTTCAGGTAAAGCATAAGTGAGGGTAATGTATACAAAAATGTAAAAAATATACATAGCTGAATAGGTGAGATACACTTTTATAAACAGGTAAAAAGCTGGATACCAATATATATGGTTTAAAATGATTCCTGTAGAAGACTTTTCTGCTGTAAGTAAATTTAATAATGTAGGTGCAAAAGAATTTTTCCCCATCAATTTTAATTTATGTTGTATGCTAAGGTGAAGAAACTGAAGGGACAGATGGTCAAATCTACAGGAGACATTTAGAAGCTATACTTACAAATATATCACTGAAGAACAACTTAGACCATTTGCTGGCTAGGTAAGCTGTTATTTCTGACATGCTTTTGGTTTGTATCTTTGGGGCTTAGTATACGTTTTAGAGTTGGGTAGCAGTCTTCCAGTTTCTCTTTATGATGCATTTCTTGATTTGTCCATATCATTTCATTAATTACTTAGTGCAATAATGATGGCAGTAGAAGGAAAAAGTAATTTGTTTTTAATGCTTAAATGGGATTATGGAAAGTTAATAGTTAAGCTAAATTTGGGTTATAGCTACATGGAACTAGTGGTTGATCTGAGATTCCTATTAATAACTGCGTCAAAATGCCTGAAACAATGCATCGCAGTTAGTATTTAGTAAATATCAATTAGAAACTTAATATTGAGGGTGTGAAGTGAAAATTCTTTTCTGTAAAGATAGCTCAGTCTCCCATTTTCTTTTTTCACTTAAAGGGCAACTTGATACAGTGAAAAGAATGTAGGCATTACAGTCAGACATGGGCTTGAATCCTTCCTCTCTCATTTCCAGGAGAGTAGAGTAGTAAGTTCTGAAGGTCAGACTGCCTGGATCTGGTTTTGCTGTTGTGTAACATTGGCCTTTCTGCTGTTGTGTGTCATTCGTGCCCCTCGCTCACGGAATTGGCTTGTGGATTAAATGAGAGTAGACGTGGGAAGTACTGTTGAGAGTGTGGGCCCCGGAGTCCAGCAGGCTTTGAGAACCTGCTCTACTGTTGATGGCACAGGAGGGCTCGCTGAGCACTGGCTGCGATGGCTGTCCTCTGATCGCAGGCAGATTACAAGAGTTCTCAGCCCTGGTTTTTGCATATGTAAAATAAGAATGACTGGTACCTTGTGGAAATATGGCAGAAGTATTTCTGAAGCATCTAAAATATAATGGGTGCTCAATAAATAGTAGCTCTCATGTCTGCTGATACTTGTTTTGTTTTGCAGCCTTCTTTTTGAAGAGTATATTTCATATAGTTCACAGGAAGAAATCGGTCCTGATAAAGTATCTTTGCTTAACGAACAGTTTCTTCCACTTATCAGACTTTTGGAAAGCAAGTAAGTTGTGTGTTTCTGCCCTTGTTGAATGTGTGTGTCTTGTTTTATTAAAAGAAGATTCACAGGTCACATCATAACATAGGGAATGAATTGTAAAGAGGCTGGTTCCCCCCCCCCCCCCCCCCCCTTAAGGAAGACCGGTATGGGATTAAGTGTATTTGACCTATACTTTCATATAGGAAATAGGGGCCATTTTTGTATAGAGAGATGTTACTGTTGGAATACTTTTAAGGTTTTATTTGTATCTTTTTTATACACGTATCATGTGTGTGGTTAGTGACTTCGTTAAGAATAATTAGCTCTTTATTTTCTTCCCAGGTATCCCCGAACATTAGATGTTGTATTAGAGGAACGCCTAAAAGAAATTACAGATCTAAAAAAACAGGAGCTTTTTCATCAGTTTATCTCTCTTTCTACAAGTGGAGGAAAGTATCAGGTAAGTTTTTCTTCGGAGGAATTACTACAATTATGGGTATATTTGTGTGGTTATTTAAGGAATTCTGGAGATAAATTGGCTAGTTCACTCCTTTCTTTGCAACTTTCGTGGACAGGTGAGATTTAGTACAGTTTCCCTAGTTCCCTGAAGGGAAGCTGTGAGGCCTCAACTCAGTTATGCATTGAATTGTTGGAAAGAGGCATGGCAACGTAAATAACTGCATGTGATACTTCTTTCAGGAAAAGTATGTTTTGGAAATGTTATTAGCAGTCATCAAAAGGGGGCTTCACTCAGGTTTCCAGTGTGTCCTTATTTTTTTGCTATGTGTGCACTAGCCGCATGAGGCTGTTCAAGTCACTGGTGAGCATAAGGGAGGCAGATTTTAATTTCATGATCATGTTAGAACTTCAGAAATTTCCTGTCAGTTCACCCTAGATCGATCTATTTCTACTAGAAGTTAGACATTTGAGCAGTTTTTACAGTTAGCCTTGAAAATAAATGTTATGAGGAGAAATGTGATTGTTTAGGTTTTTCTCTTTTGTAATTAGACCTTCATCTTTAATTAGTTTCATTTCCAATATTAGGATAATAGATTTCCTTTTTTCGTCTTTTTACATAAGTGAGGTAAGTTGTCATTAATTTGACTGTCATTGTTTTATTATTTAGGTGAATTGCTTTCTGTGTTCAGTGACCAATTTTTTTAATTCATATTTTCATTTAGGTGCTAATACACTGATTTATTTCAGGTGTTTCTCAGTCTGAAGTTAGATCCGTATAATGAATACAAAGTTACTTCACAGAATTGCTTCACTAAATAAACCTACACATAGACACAAGTGTACTCTCAAAATCACAACATTTACAATGCTCATTTTTTTCATCTATTGTAACTCATTACGTTCTAGAGACAAAGATTTTACTTTTTGGTTTCTGGATTTAGATGGTTGTTATCAAATGAGTTGGGCATTTTAGGGCAGTTTTCTCTGGTTTTTATTCTTGATCAGATGCTCAGATTTAATGGTGAAATCATTTGGTGATTGTGATGAATTCTGTAGTTTTTAGCAGATTCTGATACGTCTTTGATGCTCAGTCTGAACCATCCACTTGCTCCTGTGAGACTTCTGGCTATTAATCATCTGAAAAATATCATGAAGACATCAGAGGTTTGTTTCAGATAGCTTCATTTGTGATATTTTTATCCTTAAAATGCACAGTGTAATTCTAGAAGAGGAAATTGGAACTTACCAACTACAATTGATATTATGTAATTACAGACACAAGGCAAATATCACAGAGAGTACATTGGACCATACATGCCAGTAGCCATCATTTATTAGAGCAGCCATGCTCTAATAACCTCTATATTCGTGTTTCCACATTGCAGATTATTACTTCAGTGTTTTTCAGGCTATGATTTCTAGATCATTTACAGAGGTTCACCAATTATCTGAGAATGTTGTAGTTTTGAAATTTGACTTTGGTACTCTTAAGTTCAATATGAGTGTATTTGGGGACATTGGAATTACAGCTTTTCGAACACTGTTCCATGATTTCAGTACCTCTGGTTATATTTGTTTCAGATTTTGGTGGCTGTGAATAGTAAGTACGAAGGCTAACTTAATTTGTAAATAATGTCTTTTTACCAAAATGGTATTTTACCAAGACTTTGCAGTAATTGAAATGGAGCAGTATTTTCTGAGCTTCAGCCATTCAAACAATTCTGTCACAATTTTTGCTGTTCGAGCTTATCACTAATACTATGTTTTTAAAATTTTTCTCTGGCTTTCAAATGGACTAATTTTTTTTTACATTGTTGTCAAGTCATGAGTTTGAAGGGTTAACTGGTGTAGACATTTAGTGTAGTTACTATAAAGGAAGAGTGTTCATCTGTGTGATAATCTAAATCTTCTCATGTAGTACTATTGCATATTTGGAACATTTCGGAAGAGAAAAGTGGTCCTAGAGTTGAGTGTCCTCATGGCACACCATAGTATGAACATGCTGAACTTGAACTTGTGTCATGATAGCTAGAACCAGATTCATATCACAAATAGAATTTAATTTCAGAGTGCAATCATAATTACCATAGTAAATTCATTTCAATTTGAGTTTTTTGGTTTTGCAAGGCTTTGTGATAGTGGACTTAAAATTTTTTGGTTTATATTTATATTATCTTTGGTTTACTTTATATTTTTGTGTTACTTCGTTTTAAAATGATACGTAAATAATAATAGCAACATTAGGATCTGGGAGGATTTTTTTTTTTAACATTTATCTTATTTACGTATTTTTTGAGAGAGAGACAGAGAGAGCATGAACGGGGGAGAGACAGAGAGAGGGAGACACAGAATCCGAAGCAGGCTCCAGGCTCTGAGCTGTCAGCACAGAGCCCGATGCAGGGCATGAACTCATGAGCTGTGAGATGTGACCTGAGCTGAAGTTGGATGCTTAACTAACTGAGCCACCCAGGCACCCCAAGAATGTTTCTTTAAAAATGGTTGATGTGATACTCAAATTTATAATCTGTAGCTTTGATTCATTTCTGATCTGGCATAAATTACGTCTCACAAGGTGTTGATAGGTTTGCGTTAGTGATTTGCTGGATAATTAAACCATAGCATACTGGTCTTCATTGTGATAGGAAGATCCCAGTGTCTAGAATGAAAAAAAGGATTCCTAGAAGCTCCTAATATTATATCTGAAGGTGTTCTTGTCCTTCTTTTAATCCCTTTCTTTCCTGTCCACTTCTGGATTTGGTTAGTGTTTCAATAAAGGCCGTTGTACACATTCACCTTTTAGATTTAAGCATGGTTAACTGTCTTCAGATTGGGATATTTGACTACTTGCTAGCTATTTAGAAAATTTTGGTGATATTTGCTATGTGAAAGTTGGACTTCAGTTTGTGAATTCTAGGGATTTTAGTTTTATCTCCCAACAGAGTGCCTTATTATTTTTTGTAGCATTATTTATATTTTTTTCACCACCCATAGATAAGGATATACTTAGGTTGATTTGCTATCTTACCTTTTTGTTACTGTGAATGATTACGTGCTTTATTTTCTTTTGTAAATGAAAAAAAATAATCTTTTTGGCAGACTGGCTTCGCAGTGCTTGTCCTTACTCTTGTAAAAATCTTGATAATAATAGCTGACTTTAATAGTGTTTACTACGTAAAAGGCCTCGTTCTAAGCACTGATGTGTATTGTTTAATCTTGTAGCAGTTCTTTGGAGTTGGTACTGTTACTCGCTCTGTTCTCTGGTGGAGAATAGTGAGGCCTGGAAAGGTTAAATTACCCAGTCGGTCGCACAGCTGGTAGGTGGGTAATGCCAGAATTTAAACCTAGATATTCTGGTTCTTGAGTCTTTGCACTCTCAATATCCAGGCTCTGATTTAACAAGATGAACTTCTTTTTTTTTTTTTTTTTTTTTTAATTTTTTTTCAACGTTTATTTATTTTTGGGACAGAGAGAGACAGAGCATGAACGTAGGAGGGGCAGAGAGAGAGGGAGACACAGAATCGGAAACAGGCTCCAGGCGCTGAGCCATCAGCCTGACGCGGGGCTCGAACTCACGGACCACGAGATCGTGACCTGGCTGAAGTCGGACACTTAACCGACTGCGCCACCCAGGCGCCCCCAAGATGAACTTCTTAATGCAAAGATTATATTTGAATTATATATATTCTATTATATTTTCAGTAGAAATTGGAAAAAGTTTGTACCAAATAATTACTCATCTATAAAGGCCCTTTAGCATTGAGGAGGGCACCTGTTGGGATGAGCACTGGGTGTTGTATGGAAACCAATTTGACAATAAATTTCATATTAAAAAAAAATAATAAAAATAACAAAAAAATAAAAAGGCCTTTTAGAGATTATCTAGTTCAGTGCAGGTATGTTTAGAGTGTTTGAATTTGCATCTAGGCCAGAGCCTATATTTCTTACTGATAATCTGGAGTGCTTTTCACAAAACCAAGCTTCCTATCTAGGGTAAAATCTTAGGAGGTTTTAGCAGCAACTAAATATATTTTTTTTCTTATTTAGGAGAACGTCGATGAGTCTTTCATAAAAGAAGCTGTTTTAACCCGATTAGGTGATGATAGTTTAGATGTTGTTTTGTCGGCTATAAATGCTTTTGAGGTGAGTGAATTTGTTGTTTGTTGAAATACACAATTTGTAAATATTTCCTCCTCATGTGATTCTCTGCTCTAGGCAGGAATATATTGGAAATTATTCCTTCATTGGAAATTTGTTCTCTTGAGAGCATAGACGTAAGCCTGGTTAAGGAAAGCTTATGGGAGAAATCAGACTGCACAACTTCGTATTACATAGAAGTTTTTCAAAAGGGAAAAGTGTTTTATAAATTGTTATCGATAGTAAGTACCTTGGGATCGTGGAAAATTGGCTCATGAATGCCACTTTTGAGAAATAGCTCTCATAAAGCCTTGAAATAGTTCAAGGACTGTTGGGAGACGAATTCTTTACAATTCATTATTTTTTAAAGTGTATTTAACAAGTACTGTATGCATTTGAAGCAGGTGAAGATTTACTTATGGCCATTTTTTCCCCTTTAGATTTTTAAACAACACTTTAGTTCGGAAGTGACTGTTTCAAATCTTCTAAATCTCTTTCGAAGAGCAGAACTTTCAAAAAATAGGGGATGGTATGTATTCATTTCTCTTCATACTGTTTTGAATTGACAAAATTCTTATACTTGTTTCATTTTTTGTGTTTACATGTTTGCATTTTCTAATTTAGTTATATGGTCATGGTAGTGGAATGAATCATAATGTAATTCTTGCATTATGCAAAGAATTAGGATTTGTGTGGCTTCATTATACTATTCTCTGAAATTTTTTCTCCATAAAATGGTGAGAGTCTATAATGTGTGACATAATACTGAAATCTGAGAAGTAGGGTAGTAGGGAGTTTTAGTTTTTATTTGAGTTTATTTTTTTTGAATTTTTTTAATGTTATTTTTGAGAGAGACGGAGTGCAAGTGAGAAAGGAGCAGAGAGAGAGGGAGACGCAGAATCGGAAGCAGGCGTCAGGCTCTGAGCTGTCAGCACAGAGCCAAATGTGGGGCTCAAACCTACGAACTGTGAGATCATGACATGAGCCGAAGTCGGATGCTTAACTGACTAGCCACCCAGGCTCCCCGGAAGTTTTAGTTTTCTACTTTATATAATTCTATTTGATTATTTTTTCCCAGGATAGTGTATTACTTTATAATGAAACACGAACTTATGAAAGTAAGCTCAGAGGCACATGGTTACCTTCTGTACTATTTGATGAGCTCATTTTTGGCATTTAAGCTTTTTTCATGGAAAAATGACTAAGTTCCTTAGAGGAAGAGAGCATGTCTTGCAGGTTTTTGTTTTGTATCCATCATATTTAGTTCTTAGCACATAGTATGTGTTCAGATTTTTTTAAAATTACGAGTGAGTCTGTGATTTCTAGTGGAGTTATATATAGTGTGAGGTGTTTTATGTTATTATAGTTAGCCTAATGATTTCTCAAAAAAAAAAGATTTGACGGAGTTAGTTTAAAATTGTTCTCCCAAATAACTCACCTTTTGGCATGGATTTTAAGTGATTGTGTTGGCTGTGTCTGAATAATGTGTTTGTTGAGACCAGGATAATGTCAGCTGAGCAGGGACAATGCAATGATTTGGGGCTGAATTTAAGTTTCCTAATGGGTTTCTCAGCCAAATCTGTTTGTGTCTTAGGTACAAGGTACTTGAGGTAGCAGCAGACATACTAATTAAGGAAGAGCTACTGAAAGAAAATGATCACTTGTCAAATCAGGTGGTGGTACATCTGCTGCCGTTTATGATTATCATCAATGATGACATGGAATCTGCAGAGATGAAAATCGCTATATATTTATCAAAATCAGGAATTTGCTCTCTGCACCCTATATTAAGGGGCTGGAAGGAAGGTAAGAAATTCAGTTGCCTTGTAGAAAAAAAAAAACAACAGCAAATGTTGGCTGTAACTTATTTGAAATCACATTTGCTCTGTTCTGTGTCAGCAAGATTGTTTAAGATCAAAAATCTAAGATCAAAAACCTACAATCCTTGATCAACAACAGATTTGAACTGCACAGATTTACTTAAATGTGGGTATTTTTCAGTAAATACTGTACAGTACTCTGCATTTTCTCTTCCTTAGAATTATTTAAATAGTACTTTTTTCCTTCTAGCTTTATTATGAGACTACAGTATGTAATACATATAAGATACAAAATCTGTGTTGTTGATGTTATTAGTAAGACTTCACATTAACAGTAGGCTATTAATGGGTTTTTGAGGAATCAAAACTTATATGTATATTTTCAGCTGTGTTGGGAAGTGGGGTTGGTGCCCCTGTTCCCACGGTCCGTGGTCAGCTGGACAGTGGAAAGGAAGCTGACCCACACACAGATTCAGAATTTGACAAAAGGGAAAATACAGAGCAAACCTTCATAGGAAAATTATAAAACTTTTGCCTAAGTTTCTTACTCTGTAGAATTCTTTAGGTGAGTATTCATGATATAAGGGCCCTGTGTTCATTTTTTTTTTTTTTTAAACAGCTCTTGAAAATGTGATTAAAAGCACAGAGTCAGGAAAGCTAATTGGTGTGGCAAATCAGAAGATGATTGCATTATTGGCTGACAATATAAGTTCAGGGGATCCTTCTTCAATGTTAAAGATGGTAGGTTTGCTGTCAAAGAACACCCCTGGATTTCTCAGTGTTTGCTTCACTAGATTTTTTTTAAATAATGTTTGCATTTTTGACTAAGTATATTCTGCAGATTGTTTTATATCTTTTAAGTTTTATATAAATTTTTTATTGTGGCTTTATATTGGACTAATAAGAATAATATGTACCTTTTTGCCTCCCTGTTTCCTTTTATTTAAAATATGAAAACCTGGGGGCGCCTGGGTGGCTCAGTTGGTTGAGCATCCAACTTTGGCTCAGGTCATGATCTCGCGGTCTGTGAGTTTGAGCCCTGCGTCAGGCTCTGTGCTGACAGCTCAGAGACTGGATCCTGCTTCGTATTCTGTGCCTCCCTCTCTCTCTGCCCCTCCCTCGCTCATGCTCTGTCTCTCTCTCTCTCTCTCTCTCTCAAAAATTAAAAAAATAAATTAAAAAAATAAAATATGAAATCCTGTTTTTTGTTAAAATAGCAAAATATCAAAAAGTTATGTTTTTGTTTTTTTTGCCTTAGTAAATAAAGCTTTGTCAAGGCATTAGGTGTATAATTTTAAAGCATTTATCTGGTTGCCAAGTGCAGTTATTTATGTTCATTATAATTCTGAATTTTTAAATTTTTTTAATTACTTAGAAGTCAGTGCTTACTACTTTTTAAAGGCTTTGTATTTGTCATCTCACCTTAAATGTAATACCCAGATAGGTCTGGGGTAGAGAAAATTGTTTTATGTGAACTAAGAGCTACCAGTAATGGAGAATGTTTATTTTTCAAGGTGGAGGATTTAATAAGCCTTGGGGAGAAGGACTGCTTTAGTCTGAAGCAGAAAGTGACTTTTCACCTGGTCACGGCTGTGCTGGTTTCTTGCTGTTCATCTTTAAAGGAAACTCACTTTCCATTTGCAATAAGAGTCTTCAGTTTGTTGCAGAAAAAAATAAAGAAGCTTGAAGGTGTCATTACTGCAGTGGTAAGTAGTGCAAAGTGTCTGGAACATTGAGTAAAGTGGCAGTCTGGCTTGTTAATCACAGCAAAACTGAAAATTGGGGGCTGAAACGCTGAATCTTTGGATTCAGTTGAATGCTGAATTAGAAAAGTTAATTGAATTACAGAATGTCAAGGTCGTGATGTTTTATACCTAATGGTTGATTGTCCCCTTTATTATCTTTATTGGCTAGTTATCTGAGTTATGCATAACTATCCTTCATGATGAAGAATTCACTAGGTATGTCAGTGCTTGAATAAAATATTACTTCATTCTATTGTCTCCTAAGAATTGATCTTTTGTATTTTAATGTTACATCAGATTTGGATCTCACCAGCTTACTCTTTGTCTTTGACAATATCAGCTAAGAAACATGTTTCAGTTGTTTGTATTTTTACCTAGTACCGTATCTTGAGGTAATAAGATTATTTCTTTTAATATCTGCCCCCTGTAATAGTATTTAGTTTTTATTTGTCCTCCATCATTCAGAGGGCTCTTCATTTTAGGATTTGCAGAATGAGTCAGCATCTTTTTCACATTTACATATACCCTCAGGATTTTACAAGTTCTGGTCATGGTCATTGTTACCTAAAATCCTATAAATTTAAAAAGAGTAATAAATTTTTGTATTTTAAAAAAGTAGCCCAGATAAGCCCTTCTTGAATTCTTTCTTTCTTATCTTTTGTGGATTGTGGTAACCTGAAGGGTGTTTGCCCTTGGTGTTAAAAGTGTGAACAATTTGGGTGTGTGTATATATATATATATATATATATATACACATACGTGTGTGTGTCTATATATATATATATATATATATATAGACACACACACACATATGTATACATACACATACACATATGCAGATAAAATGCTTTATATTTAGTACCCTTTCTGGGAATCATGGGCCTCTTTCTGGCTGTAGCAGCATATCGAGTCAGTGAAATCCCTCCAGAGAGACGTTCTCTTAGAAGTCTGGCTCTTTCCTTCCAGGTTACTGCTGTGTGCTCTCCTGTACAGTCTCATAATTTTCCTTCATATTTTCTCCTGCTTTTTAGTATCTGCAGTATAATTTCTAAACACCTCACATTTTGCTGCTTATTTGCAGAATTACCTGTTTGGAGGTAGTTTGGAGATTTTACTATGTACCCTCTTCAGATTACCTGTAAAAGTGGGACATGAGAAAGGTGCCATTAAGGGTCTCTTAGAAATCCAGCTCCTTTCTGTGTAGAAATGTGTCACTTGATAAACACAATATATGTGACTAACGTTTGTTTTTAGATGTGTGTGTTGAGAAAATATAGGTAACATGAAACTGTGGATAACTTGGATCTTTTTTTTTTTGTAAATAGTGATTGATGGTTGAATCTCTTTACAAATGTGATTAAAGCTTTTAATTCTCTCACATAAATATGCACATAGAGACACAATTTTGCATATTACCCAGACATACACATCCATTGCGGTTCTCCTGTGTATAACCCATGTTCAGAATCCCTTGTTTGTGTTGTCTTTGTCTCTTTTACCATTTCAGGAAATCCCCTCAGAATGGCATTTTGAGCTGATGATGGACAGAGAGATACCAGTGGAACTGTGGACACATTACATAGAACAGCTCAACACCGCCCAGAATATTGCTGTGGAGGATTCAGTTTTACTCATATTTTCACTGAAAAATTTTATTCATGCACTAAAGGCCCCTAAATCCTTTCCTAGAGGTAGGACAGAGTGTGACTTTCGAATGCGATACTCTAGAAATGGAACTAGTGTCTTGAGTCAAAAGTTCGCACCAGTGTGTCCACGTAAGTTTCTTTACCGTCTCTTTGTCTCCATGTCCGTGTAGAGGACGTGTGGTGGGACCCCGAACAGCTGCGAGAAGACAGCAGGGCCTATGTGCGCTTGCTCATTGGGCTCTTTGAGACGATACTCACCGGTGCTGATGCCGTTCATTTTAGGGTCCTGATGAAACTGTTCATAAAGGTACGAAGCTCCTCTTTTTCAGGCATACTCTTCCCTCTAAGAAGATATCACAGGGTATTTTAGTTATGACAGTTTTAATGAAAATGAAAATAATGTGTGCTGATTATGGTGAAGAGTGTGCGCTGATAAACATGGCCCTGTGAGGTAGCGCTGTCGTGACACCAATCGGTAGGTAGGACACAGGTGCACTTTGTTGCGTGCCTGCTAGTGTGCTAGACCCGTTAATGTGTTTCATAATCACAACAGCCCAGGCTGTTTGGTTGATGAGTGCCATTACCAGTGAGAAAGTGCTGTTCACAGGGCTGATTTAGTATATTATGCTACTCAGCTAAGAAATTTCAGTGACCTCCAATGGTCGAGGCCTTTGTTCTTGGCTTCTTGCCCCTCCACAGCATTTGACACAGTTGGTGATGCTGACTCCATCTTTGAAGTACTTTCTTAATGAGGCCTCTCCAGCATCACTCGTCTTGGTTTTCTGCTTAGTGTTCTCATTTTGTTGTTGTTCGGTGTGTTCAAATGCAGAGTTGTAGCAAGTCCTTTGAATTCATTTGCATCCTTCTCATTGGTTAAGTGTAGAAAATTTTAAGTCATGAGACAAAGCAGCAGAACATTGCAATGAAATATTTGTTTTGTGTAATTACACACTAGTGAAAAGAGGATTTGGAACCAACCGAATGTGAGTAAAAATTAAACTTCCCTGTTGTTGATTTGTTCAATTTAGGTGCATCTGCAAGATGTTTTTCAGTTCTTCAAGTTCTTTTCTGTTTTATGGACGTATGGGTCTAGCCTTTCAAATCCACTTAACTGCAGCGTGAAAACAGTGCTGCGGACCCAAGCTCTTTATATAGGGTGTGCGATGCTCTCTTCTCAGAAAGCACAGAGTAAACATCAGCTGGCATCTGTCTCTTCTCCAGGTATTGTGAGTAGCCTCTTACGTTCCGTCATGACCAATTTTAATGCTTTCTCTATATGTAGTTTGTGTGGATTGTACTTTGGAGAATTTCTTTTTAATTTGTTTTTAAGTAGAATGCTCATAGGGGCGCCTGGGTGGCTCTGTTGGTTGAGCAACCGACTTCAGCTCAGGTCATGATCTTGTGGTCCATAAATTCGAGCCCCAGGTTGTGCTCTGTGCTGACACCTCAGAGCCTGGAGCCTGCTTCAGATTCTCTGTCTCCATCTTTCTCTGCCCCTCTCCCGCTCAGTCTCTCAAAAATAAAAAAAAAAAAGTGCTCACTCACATGTGCATGCACTCTCACTCACGTGCTGTGTATACATGTAATTTATGTAGATGTGTGTGAACTACATGTGTATAATTTTTTTATTTAAAAAAAATTTTTTTTAACATTTATTTATTTTTGAGACCGAGAGAGACACAGCATGAACGGGGGAGGGTCAGAGAGAGAGGGAGACACAGAATCCAAAACAGGCTCCAGGCTCTGAGCTGTCACCACAGAGCCCGATGCGGGGCTCGAAGTCACGGACCGCGAGATCATGACGTGAGCCGAATCGGACACTTAACTGACTGAGCCACCCAGGCGCCCCTACATGTGTATAATTTATATACGTATATGTGAACTATATGTGTGTATGTATAAACTACTTCTAATCACCAAAACATAATAAAAATGGCAGATGATTAGTCATAGGTTGTTAATATCCTGCTCATTTTCTGAGTTTCAGCAGTTACAGGGTTATCTGGGGAAGCCAGATCATTTAGTATAGTTCCAATATTCAGCTGCTTATAAAAAGGTCTCCACTCTGACAGCCTTCTTGGATTTGTCTCTTCTATCAGGTGTAAGTCATTTTCAGGTTGGACACTCACTAATAAAACACTTAAATTTATATTTTTTGATAAAGTGAAATTTGCAAATTTTGTAAAAGATGCAGAATTTCCTGAAGTTGATGAACATGATACTGAAAAATAGATATTTACAAGCTATTGACAAATGAGAGAATCTGACAGATTTAGACCCTGTAGTGATTAAAGATGAGGAAATTGATGAGGATGATGGAGATGATTGATTCTTCAAACCAGAAGGATTTTAATGTCAAAGGAACAACAGTGGCTCTTGGGAAATTTGATTATGTTCTTGATTTTTTCTTTTTTTTTATTCTAAAATCACTCTTTATAAATGTTCTGTGAAAGCAAAATGAACGATATATGCTTTTCCCAGAACAGTTTCTCAGTGTTTCTCTTTCATTAGCTTTGTGAAAGAGCACATAATTAATCATTATAATCAAGGTTTCATTAAATACAAGGTAAAGTATGTATTTAAATTTAAGTTTTTACTTGTAGAATAAAATCCCATGAATTATTTCATTACTACTTATTATAAAACTGCAGTCCCTGATTTTAGGTGGACTTAATTTAAGAAGGCTTTTTCAGGTTTTGTTTTGTTTTGTTTTTTCCTTTGGATGAGAAAGATTTACTGCACATTTTTAAAAACTTTAATCCTTTAATTAATATGTTATAGGTATTGTTCTATATTATTACTTAGTAAACACAGAAATTTATTTACTTGCAAATGTCTGCAGACTATTCCATTGCATGGAAATAGCCTGATTTATTTAAATGGCTATTTTCTGTTAAAGGTATGTATATTTTATTTAGAGGTCATAACTACTTTGATTTTCTAATTAAGTATAAAATGTCTATTATCTTTTGATATCAAAGGCAGAGGTTCCTGAGGGATAGATGTCTCTTCGTCTATAAATAGCAGGACCAAAAGACTTCACTTTTCCCCAGAATTGCTGCAAGATCGACTCCGTCTGCCCCTCTGCCTTGTTGTCTGTCACCTCCATTCTTCCTAAAGAACTTTTGCATTTATGCTGCTTAGAAATGTCCCAGTAGTCCACCGAAACCAGGTCAGGTGCACCTAGTTCCCCTTGGAAGCTCAAGGCCTATGCACTGGAGTCCTGGAGGGCCTGTGTGGAAGGTCACTCAGTGCCCCCAGCCTCCGGGCACCCACTCCAGTGCACAGGGAGCTTCTGTCTGCACCTGCTCTGTAAGGACTCTGGGAGGTACTGGTATTTGTTTTAATCTGTTTATTAAAAATGTGACACTGTTCAAAAGAAAAAGATACTGCAATATGAAAATATTACAGTACAGTATTTATGAATTTTTGTCAGTGGTTTAGGAATCTAACCAACATTTATTACTTTCTGTGGAGATATGCGTTCCAGCTCAGTCTTGCATATAGCGAGTTTTGTTAAATGAACATTTAACATCATTTGTAAGATGTAGACTGCCTTTGGTTTTTTAATACTTGACCAATATAGTAAATGTATTCATAAGTTTAAAACCAAAGCTCAGTATTTTTTTCAACCTTTATGTAAAATATCCTGTTTTAAATCTAAATAAAATGACTTGGGAAAACAGAGTCACATAGACTTTTAAACAAGAAAATTCCTAAAAGCTGATAGTTTTAATAAGGTAGCTTTTGCTTACTGTGAGTTCTAGTATTTAACTTGAAGGTGGTAACTGTAGTACTTAGTACTTTGATTTGTTTTTGGATTTGGATTTTTCTGGAAGCTCTGTACCACTATACAGGGAATTTTAGCAAATAGTGACTTGGCCTGAAGCTGCCCTTTGTGTGAATCGCAATTTCCAGCTGTTGCTGACTTTATTTTATAAATTAACCTTACAGAGACTAGGAAAGATTGCCAGCCTTTACATGACCTTCTCAGAAAAGTTTGACAGTTTGTTGAGCTCTTTCTTAGCATTCCAGAAATGAAATACATGGAATGATCATTAGTAGCAAAATGAAAGTCACCACAGTTTGCCCCAGTAGGTAGCATGGAATAAAGCTTAAATAACACCGTGAGAGGAATTTAGGAGTCTTTTTATCCCAGAGTCATAGTTTCAAAAGACTTCAATCCAGTTGATCTTACAGATGCATTCTGCCAGATCTTGAAAGCAGGTTTTTCAGTGCTGTTGGACTGAGCAGGACATAAAACAAAGGAGAGCTTCCAGATTCTTTGTCTAAAATGAGTATAACATTGAAAATTGACAACACTTAGAGACAGAAACAAGACAACAGGCCAAGTTGCTTTGAATAATAATGCAAAATTTCTAAATAAAATATCTGTAAATTGAGTCCAGCGTATTCTTAAAAAGCAAGTATCTGCCCAAATAAAGTTCATTCCAACAATATAAAATTGGTTTAAAATAAAGAACTCTTAATTGGCCATATCAGTGTTAAAGGATTATCATTTTCCAAGAATTTAAAAGGCATTCGATAAAAATCAGTAATTCTAATTTTGTGGCAGCAAAATAGGAGTAATGAGAAAAATACTCAAATCAAAAGCTAGCATCTTCATAGCAGAGTTGGGAAAACAAAAGCATTCCTGTTGAATCCATCACTATACTGGACACGGCGTTAGAAGTAGTAGTTGGCAGAAATAGCTGTTTGAGACACTGATGGAATGTATGAGTGATGAGGCTGTGGGATTCTTAGGTGCATTATTAAATAGGACATCTGAGGCTAGCCGTTTGAAAACATTTAAATAAAAGTTGACTCCATCCTTATTTCCTTAGACAAAATTTCACATGAATTAAAGATTTCACATTAAAAAAGAACAACATAGCTCTAGTGTTAGAAGAAAACATGGAGTGCGTGTGGCCTCTCTAAATATTTAATATAGATTCAGACACTTGAACAGCTCAGAGCAGGGACGGCCTCTCTAAGCATCATACAAAATTAGAAGAAAAGTGGGACTGAAACTTCTACATTATAAAAAATTCCAGGGGTGCGTGGGTGGCTCAGTCAGTCAGGTATCTGACTCTCGATTTTGGCTCAGGTCATGATCTCATGGTTTGTGGGATCAGACCCCACATCAGGCTCTGCGGTGCTTGGGATTCTCTGTCTCTCTGTCTCTCTGCCCCTCCTGTTTGTGTGCGCGTTCTCTCAAAAGAAATCAACTTAAAAAAAAAATTATAAAATACAATTAAGGACAAAGTATTTGCAAAGTATGGTGCACAATGAGAAGTTTCCTCTGCACACTTACCAAGACGTATGTATGTATGGAGATGCTTGTAGCAGTTTTAATGCTGAAAGACTGGAAGCAGCTGAACTTACCAGTAAGATAATGGTTTAAATAATACAGAAAATGCAATGGAGAACAGTACAGTTTTAAAAGAATGATTTTATATACAAACATAAACACACACACACACCCTTGGGTGGCAAACAGTTCCAAATAAATTTGAAATGTGATAGTTCTTGAAGCAGGGTGTGTGCATATGTACACCCCTGTGCTCTGCTCTCATTTGTGTGTTTTCAAAAGGGTAAGCTCGCATATATCCACGGTAAACATAATTAAACAGTGAATGGTCTTGAGAGAGAATTTCGGTGGGGGGGAAAACTTCAACATCTACCCTTAGGTGCTATTTCAGTTTTGTACTGTTTCAGTTTTTTAAATTGCTCCTTAAATTTTTTTCCATTTGGTTTTAGTGGTGACATCTCTACTCATTAATCTGGGAAGCCCCATAAAAGAAGTACGAAGGGCCTCCATTCTTTGTCTCCAGGCCCTCAGTGGAGTGGTGTCTCATTTCCATCTGGTAATAGATCATTTGGTTCCTAAAACAGAGGAGATCACCTCAGACGCCACCTATGTTACTCAGGTAAATTCCTCCGCAGAGAAGGTTGAATGTGCGCACTCCTGTATGGACACACGAACAGTTTCCTCCTCCTTTGACATTTTGCTTTATAGGGATTTTGATCGACTTAAGTCACTGAATTTAGAAACTGATGGCAATATCCGTACATCTTTCTCCTCCCATTTTTAAAAGATAGGAGTACAATGTTTCATTCATTTCTGCTCTGCTTTCTTTGGCTAAAAGGCCAGTATTTGGCTTTTAATCATAAGCTGAGAGGTATTGGTACCCTTTCCAGGGGAAATGAAAAATGATAAGTAGCATCACATCATTTGAGAAAGAATCTTCCATAATTAACACATTTAGCCTTTGTAGTTCCTTAGCTCTTTTTCATCCAATTTTCTTTTTGGTGCTCTAGGATTTGGCTGCTTTATTTGAAGAACTGCGGAGAGAAAAGAAACTAAAATCTCATCAGAAATTATCAGAAACTTTGAAAAACCTACTTAATTGTGTATATAGTTCCCCATCTTATATTGCAAAGGATTTGATGAAAGTACTTCAGGAAGTCAGCAGTGAGGTATGTGCAGTTCAGGCGGCTTGTAGTTTTGTGTGTTCTTACTAAGCACTATTAGAGCTTCTCATCGTATCTAGGAAGATGTGTCCAAGAGTTAAGCAGATGCGTGCAGCACACTCAGAAGTGAAAATTCTCTTACTCGTTTGGGAGGGGGAAGCATTGTAGTGTAGAAAAAGACACAGGATGCAAAAAGCAAATATTGTGGGGGTTTTTTCCTTTTCAAAATTGTGTGTTATCCCTACCTAACCAGTTACTTGGTTTTAAGTGAATTTAAAAAAACATACGGGGGGAAACACTGAAGAGGCACTGCTGAAAAAATTGTTGGTTTGTGTCTTTTCTTCAGGTGAAAATCCTCCACAAGGTAATAGTTTTGGACATAAGCCTGTGAACATTCCAAAATCGTTTGTTCATTTTTTAAATGTATGTGGTTGACCATTTTTCTAGGGGGAAGGTCCATAGTGTTCATGATGTTGTTAAGGAAGCCTGTGATCCCAGTGAAAGAGGTTGTGAAGCACCTGCTTCTGTGAAGGAGCATGCTGGTCAGCACAGGAGAAGCTCTTCATCCTAGGGTTCCAAAAATGCCTAGATGCTTCGCCAGTCTGGGACTGACGACAACTTGGAGAACTGAAATGGGATAAAGTGGTGTGGAAACCACATGATCAGATTTTCCTGGTGGGAACAAACAGATGGCATTTATCAGCTCTGTGTCATCCCTGGTGTAGTTTAAACTAGGAATTGATGGGGCACCTGGGTAGCTCAGTCGGTTAAGTGCCTGGCTTCTGGTTTCAGCTCAGGTCATAATCTCACCGGTTCGTGAGTTTGAGCCCTGCATCAAGCTGTGCCCTGAATCGCCTGCTTGTGATTCTCTGTCTCCCTGTGTCCCTGCCCTTCCCCTGCTTGCTCTCTCTCTTTGTCTCTCTCTCAAAATAAATAAATATTTTAAAAATATTAAAATAAATAAACTAGGAATTGACAATTTTGTTCTGTAAAAAACCAAATAGAAATATTTTAGGCACTGTAGGCTACACGGTCTTTCTTGCAGGTACTTATTAGCTCTGCCATTGTATTGCGAAAGCCATGGTCACTTACGTAAACAAATGAGCATAGCTATGTTTCAGTAAATAAAATTTACAAAAATACATGGTCCTCTGGATTTGGCCCACAAGCCATAATTTGCTAGCATTTTGGTTTAGTTTTTAAAGGCTTCACATATATAACATGAATTAATATTATATCAATTTGGAAGCTCTGGGGGAAACGTGATGTTTTAGAGAAAGCTAAAACTTCTTTTTGTGGCCTAAGACTTTAGTTTGTATTTCCTGTTTTCAGAAAGTCTTGGGACACTCAAATGATTCATCTCTGAAGGGTTTAGAGCCTTTTTTTTTTGTAATGTATTATTTATTTATTTATTTATTTATTTATTTATTTATTTATTTATTTATTTAAATTTACTTATTTTGAGAGAGACCGCGTAAGCAGGGGAAGGCCAGAGAGAGAAGGGATTCAAAGCGGGCTCCTTACTGACAGCAGAGAGCCCAATATGGGACTCGAACCCACAAACCTCTGAGATCATGACCAGAAGTCAGACGCTTAACCAACTGAGCCACCCAGGTGCCCGCCCCTGTAATGTTTAGTTTTGAAAGAGAGAGAGAGAGACAGACAGAGCATGAGTGAGGGAGGGGCAGAGAGGGCTCAAACTTAGGAACTGTGATCATGGCTTGAGGAGCTGGATGCTTAACCGAGTGAGCCACCCAGGCGCCCCTAGAGCTTTTGGCCATAACAGAATGAACTTCAGGGGAGACTTCAGTGCTTAATTGGATTAAATGCCATTTCTCATGTCTAAGAGATCATCTTTATTGGGGCTTTTTTCTCCAGGCTGTGCTCCCAGTCTTGGAACATCATCTCTTTGGATGTCTTTGTAAAGCAAGCAAAATTATATATCAGTAACTGTTTACTATTGAATTGCCCAAACTTTAGATGGTGCTTTCTCAGCTGTTGCCTATGGCTGAACAACTGTTAGAAAAGATCCAAAAGGACCCGACAGCTGTCCTGAAAGATGAGGCCATTATTTTGCAACTCACTCTGGGAAAATATAATGAATATTCAGCATCCCTTTTACATAAGGACCCAAAGAGCCTAGATATATTTATAAAAGCCGTGCATACAACAAGGGAACTTGGCGCAGGAATGCCAACCGTTCAGATTACAGCCCTTGAAAAGGTCAGTGATTTTTTTCAGAAACTAAAATATGTTCAAGCTTTTAAATTTTGTACTGTTTTACTTGGAGAAGCTTAAGTGGCAATGTTTTAAAAGGAATATAATATATTTGATCTGTTTTTGCAAAATTGAGTGATGTACATGTGTGTCGAAAAGAACTGCATTTTAACTGAGAAAATGAGTAATGATTTTACGTTGTAAGAGAAAGTGGCTTTAAGGTCATTTTTGGAATTCATGTTTGTTCGTTGAGCTCACTTGCCTTTTTTCTATTCCCTCTAGATTACAAAGCCATTTTTTGCAGCTATAGCAGATGAAAAAGTTCAGCAGAAGCTTTTGCACATGTTGTTTGATTTATTGGTGAACTGTAAAAATTCACATTGTGCTCAGACCGTTAACAGTGTTTTTAAAGGGGTAAGTTGCAAACTTTCTGTAACTTGTTTATTAACGTTTGTTCTCCAAGGGACACCATGTTTAACTGTCCTCTGATTTCCAGTGCATTTAGAAAGTCAGATGTTAGCATCAACAAGAATCCTGGACAAGAAGCTCATAGAAAAGTGCAAAATCAAAATATAAGTTTTCATCATGATTTTTATTGTGTGAAATACTTATAGTGTTAAGCAGGTAGGGTATGTATGTTAGGTTGGATCTTACTCATATTAAATGGGATCTACCTCGTTTATGCAAGCATGTGCAACTGGGTATAGGCTATACTTAATAGTTGTGTAATGACATACATATAATGAGACTGAGAATCTGCTTGTTGATTTATGTGTATATTAAAACATAGCTGTACATCAGAATAACCACCTGGTTATTCTGTGTTTGTTTTGCTGTTAAAAAAATAACTTAGAAAACAAGTTCACAAAAATAGGTAATAATATGGGCAAGTTCTATCCAGTTTTAGCAGTTCTCAGAATTTTGACATATTTTCTTAGATTTCTAAGATGCATTAAATGAAACAAATTAGGGGCACCTGGGTGGCGCAGTCGGTTAAGCGTCCGACTTCAGCCAGGTCACGATCTCGCGGTCCGTGAGTTCGAGCCCCGCGTCAGGCTCTGGGCTGATGGCTCAGAGCCTGGAGCCTGTTTCCGATTCTGTGTCTCCCTCTCTCTCTGCCCCTCCCCTGTTCATGCTCTGTCTCTCTCTGTCCCAAAAATAAATAAACGTTGAAAAAAAAAATTTAAAAAAAAATAAAAATAAAAAAATAAATGAAACAAATTAAGGTACAGAGTAGTGTGTATAATACAGTCCTGTTTGTGTGTGTGTGTTTTAATATTTATGCAGGTGTTGGTATGTGGGAAGTACATAAGGTGTTTGCCTTTGGGGATTGATTTGAGCTCTAGAGTCATAGGAAAATGTAAAAGTGACATGGATGTTTTCACTGTATCTTTTTTTTTTTTTTATGTTTATTTTGAGAGAAAGAGTGTGAGTGGGGGAGGGCAGCGAGAGGAGGGGAGAGAATCCGAAGCAGGCTCCATACTGTCAGCTCAAAGCCTAATGCAGGGTGCATTCTCATGAACCGTAAGATCATGACCTGAGCTGAAATCCAGAGTAAGTCAGTGTTTATTTCTGTGATGTTATCCCGTGCAAGTGTATCATTGACCATTCTTCCTTCATATTTCAGATTTCTGTTAATGCTGAACAAGTCAGAATAGAACTGGAGCCACCAGATAAAACGAAGTCCTTGGGCACAATTCAGCAAACAAGAAGGCAAAAAATGCAGCAGAAGTAAGAGCTATGTGTTCAGTGAGAAAGTGCCCTTTGTTCCCCAGGCCTTAAATGTTATGAAACCATTACGATTTTTTTGATACCTGTCAGTTTGGCGTATGTGGGTATGATAATTTTTACTTAGCATTCATAATGTTTGCTTTTCTAATATTTTCATACCTGTTTCACAGAAAATCACAAGATCTAGAATCCGTTCAGGAAGTTGGAGGTTCTTACTGGCAAAGAGTAACCCTCATCCTAGAATTACTGCAGCACAAAAAGAAACTCAAAAGTCCTCAGATACTGATACCGACTCTTTTTAACCTGCTAGCAAGGTAATGACACTTGCCTTTGCCTTTGATCTGTGAGAGAATAGGATTCTAATTCCTGCATGTCTTCTCTAACAGTCTGTTTTCAACAGTCTTTTCTTGTTTAACTAGTCTGTAAAGTAAAGCAAGTACTGTAGTTGAAAGATGAAAAGAAAGGTTTTAGGTACCCTTTGCCAGTTCCCCAAATTGTGTAGTAAGTGACCACTCCTCGTATAGCCTACTTTTTAACTTTCAACACCACATCTCTTGGGCATCTTTACTTGTATTGAAAGACACAGGGTGAAACTTGCTATGTTTTTAGGTGTAAATTACTAGATTGATAGCTCTGGTATATGCCACTGTAGTGTGGATATTCTCTTTTACTGTCTGAAAAGCAGAGTAATTTGCAAGGTTGTCCTCTAAGGTTTCAGGTAAGTTCATGGAAAGTACAACAGAGAGGGTTTGACATTAAGCACCTACCTGCATGAGAAAAAAATTAGCATTAGAATCTTACATCTTGTTTATAGTCTATGTTTGATGTTAATATTTTAGTTATTCCTAATGAAGTATGTGTTGTGGACAATGGTCTTTAATGTATCACTGAAATTGTGTAACTCTTTGATTTCCCATTATGTTTTTTTTCTGGGGGGTCCTGAAGGAGTTTAGAACCTTTGCCACCAGAGCAGGGAAATATGGAATACACCAAACAATTAATACTTAGTTGTTTGCTTAACATCTGCCAGAAGCTCTCTCCAGAAGGTGGCAAAATACCAAAGGGTATGTACTTTGTTGGAAGGAAAGGGTGGAAGGACTCACTGCTCTGCGTGTGAACGTACCTACCACTTAGAGAGTTTTTTCTTTTTCGTCACTGTAGATGTTCTAGATGAGGAGAAGTTCAATGTGGAATTGATTGTCCAGTGCATCCGTGTTTCAGAGATGCCTCAGACCCATCACCATGCCCTTTTACTTTTGGGTACTGTGGCTGGAATATTTCCTGTAAGTATTAAGTTTGAGACTTCAGCAGATATTTTAGGTATTTTCTTTCTTCAGTGGAAATAACCTAAGTGCTCACTGGTTTGAAATCAGTGGACTTTGGGTCTCATTGGCGGTTCTCTCAGCCCTGTCTCTTAATAGCCTGAGACAGTGTGAGCTGTTTGATCTTGCTAAGCTTCGGGTCCTCCTTTTGTAAAGTGGCAGTAATAGTAACCTTCTCGTAGGATTATCGTGGGGATGTGACTGGGTAGTTTATGGTTCGCACAGAGCCCAGCACAGTGTAACTGTGTTAGTGTTATTTGAAAAAATTTAACTGTCCTGTTCTCCTCAGACAGCTTTCAACCAGTGACTTGAGAAAAGTAATTGGATTATAAACTGCCTTAGTTAGAGAAATCATGTCCGTTACAGAAATACATCTTTTGAAGAGATTGAAGTTTTTTCCTGTCGGGGATTTAGGTCACGGGTTCCTAACTGGGGTTCTCCGTGAGCTTTAGCGGTCTTTCTATACTAACATCACGTGCTAGATTTTATGAGTCTAGGATTTCTTTTTCTTTGAAGAGAGTCAGTAGCCCTCAGAGGAGTTGATAATCCAGCAACAATTAAGAATCATTGATATTTTTTCTTTGTTTTTATTGAAATATAGTTCATACACCATTAAATTCAACCATTTAAATAGTTGTACTATTCACTGGTTTCAGTATGTTCACAAAGTTGTATACCCATCACTATTATCTCCTTCCAGAACATTTTCATCATGCCAAAAGAAACGCCATGCTCGTTAACTGTCACTTCTCATTCCATCTGTCAGTACAGTTTCTGCCCTGGCAACCATTAATCTACTTTCTCTCTATAGGTTTGCCTCTTCTGGACATTACCTATAAAAAGAACCCTGTAATATGTGCCCTTTTTAATGTCTGAAACATTAAAGTGAAAACACTTAAGCATCATACTTTCCAGGTTCACCCATGTTGAAGCTTGAATCAGTATCCCTTTTTATGGCTGAGTAATACTCCACTGTATGCAGATACCATGTTTTGCTTATTTGTTTATCAGTTGATGGATATTTAAGTCGTTCCTACTTTCTGGTGTATACCTAGTAGTGGAATTGCTGGGTCATAAGTTAACTTCAATATTCTAAGAAACTGCCAGACTGTTTCCATAGCATCTATAATACCATTTTGTAACCACCAGCAGAATATGAGAATCCTAATTTCTCCATATCTTCACTGCTAGTTGGTACTGTGTTTGTTTTTTTTTTTTTTTTTTTTTTTTTTTTTTGTCATCCTAGTCTGTGTGAAGTATCTTATGATTTGGAGTTTGCATTTCCCTAAACAACTGATAATGTTGAGCATCTTTTCATGTGCTCAGTGACCATTTGTTTAATCTTTGGAGAAATGTCTTTGGAAATCCTTTGCCTGTTTTTCAGTGGGGTATTTCTTCTTTTATTACTGAGTTATAATGAATCATTGATATTTGATATGCTTAAAATAGAAAATGCTGAAAGGTGTGTTTCCTTTCAGGATAAAGTTCTACACAATATCATGTCTATTTTCACATTTATGGGAGCCAGTGTCATGCGTCTAGATGATACTTACAGTTTTCAAGTTATTAACAAGACAGTGAAAATGGTTATCCCAGCACTTATTCAGGTAAGCTGTTTTAATACCATTGTTGGTATTTCTTTTAATTTTATAATTGTATATAGTGTGAAACTTAAGTGACATTACAAGCCTTTCTGAAATGCTCAAGTGTTTGTGCTTCTGAAATTTTAGAATGATGGAGCTAAGAATGAGTCTTAGTAACAATGTCCTTTCCAAAAACATGAACATGCATCGCTGGTTCTGCTTTGCTGAGAGGGCATAACTGTACACATGTCTTAGCATTAATCTCACAGAGTGAATTTACATTTGCTGTATATTTCAGGACATTGCAGTTGGATAATACCCTTACTCATGTCAGTGAAGATAGGACATTTTAGAGCTCCAGTGGCAAATTTGTGAATACGCAATTTCAACAGACATTTTCCAAATGTTCTCTAAGAGCCAGGTACTCAAAGAGATGATTGGGTCTCTCTGCCAATTTGAAAAGCAGCCTTGAAGGTGAAAGAGCTTAGTCATCTGCTTGAGTTTGCTGTTTACTCCTACTTGTTGTTAATGCCTTTCTCACATTATTGACCGTTCCAGGGATGACAGCACCGTCTCCTTTTATTTTTTTTTTTATTTATTTTTTTTTTCAACGTTTATTTATTTTTGGGACAGAGAGAGACAGAGCATGAACGGGGGAGGGGCAGAGAGAGAGGGAGACACAGAATCGGAAACAGGCTCCAGGCTCTGAGCCATCAGCCCAGAGCCTGACGCGGGGCTCGAACTCACGGACCGCGAGATCGTGACCTGGCTGAAGTCGGACGCTTAACCGACTGCGCCACCCAGGCGCCCCACCGTCTCCTTTTAATCTTGGTATTTGGTTGATATTGTCTGTCCAACAGGTCCCAACAAGTAGGGGACACAGATCTAAAAAAAAATAGCTGTATGCACAGTAGCATGTATGCCGGTAGAATAGATGAGTGGTGAAGGGTTCAGAATAGAGGATGGCACATGTTGGCCCCGAAGACCACAGTTTCAGAAGAAATAGAATTTGAACTGGCATAAATGAAGGGCAGGATTTGCTCGGTAAAAAGGCGAGGTCTGGGAGCATGCACCGTGTGTGTGAAGAAAGTGACGTCAGTCAGTTCGTGGAGTGCAGTGTTGAGACAGGGAGAAGTGGGGGGCTTTGGTTCATTCGTTCATTCGTGCAAGAGGTTGTTATTCATTCTTTAATTCAACAACCGCATTTGAAGGATCAGTACCAGAGTTAAATGGTTTGAACTTTACTCTGAAAGCAGCAGGGAGTTGTTGGCCTTTCTGTACTCTGCTTATGTAGACTGTACCTGTTCTTCTTGGGGCAGAGCCCAAGTCCTGCTTGATTTGTGCAGCCTCCTGGTTGGCCTGAGAGCAGACCTGTTGTAAGTGCCCCATACTTGGCATCTGCCATTCATTGCCTGCTAGTGTTCTCTTTCCACGTGTGAGTCTTGTTTCATACAGATGATGTCTTCGGGGCTGGGCTCACATCCTACGCCTTGTATTCTCCTGGGAGCCAACAGTGCCTGGGACACCGTCTGTACTCTTTGAATATTTATTGATAGGTCTTTGATTATTCAGATTCTTTTGATAACTTTTTTTGGAGCATCTGAAGGCCGTGGACATTCCGTGTCCACTTAAAAGCTTCTTTTGTGGAGGGTTGTTTGCTCCTACTCACTGTCCCTGCTTGCTGTTCTGCAGTCTGATGGTGGAGACTCGGTGGAAGTCACAAGAAACGTGGAAGAGGTCGTGGTGAAAATCGTGAACGTATTTGTGGATGCGCTGCCCCACGTCCCAGAGCACAGGCGCCTGCCCATCCTCGTTCAGCTTGTCGACACACTGGGTGCAGAAAGATTCCTCTGGGTCCTCCTCGTCCTGCTTTTTGAACAGTATGTCACGAAAACAGTGCTGCTGGCTGCCTGTGGAGAAAAGGTCAGAGTATAGAGTGGGGTGATTAGAAGGAAAATGTTCGTGTTTATGAAGCATGGGGCTGCTGGTGCTCATGTCGATTTAACAGTCCTTGCTCGCAACCGTTTGTAAAGAGGTTTTTGACGTTCTTTACAGCTGCTTTCCGAGCCTGTGGCACTCTGAATATCCTCCATAGCAACTGATATCTGATGTAGGTGATTCGACCTAAGAACTGGTCTAGTACGATGCTGGGTGGTTCTGTTTTCAGCCTAACAGCACAGCTGAAAAGTGATTAAACTGTGTCTCTTGAAAGTGGTTTTTAAGGCGTTTCTTGGGGGAAAGGGAGGAATGTCTACGTCATCAAAATGGTTACAACATGGTGGTGGTTTTGAAGAGCCCTGTTTGGATGGATGAGGGCAGAACTTACAGGCCGAGGACTGCTTTTAAATGACTTTCTAGACACAGGATCTGGGAATAGAGGTAGACATATTCTGAGTAAAAGGGTATGTTCAGTTCTGCTAAAAATCATAATGCAGATTATCCTGGAATAGTGCCAACATTCTCATAAATTGGCATTTTTAGGTAAGAAGCTCAGTAATTCATTCATCTGGTGATACATGTGACTATAAGGAACAGTATATAATGCCTTTGCATGCCAAGAAATATTTTTCAAATACTTCCATTATTTGTACTTAGTTACATAAATTTGATAGGGATAGTTACATAAATTCGATATCGAATAGGGATAAATTCAATAATTTCTTTTCTCTATACAGGATGCTATTTTAGAGGCAGACACTGAATTTTGGATTTCAGTCTGTTGTGAATTTAGTGTCCAACATCAGATACAAAGCTTGATGAATATTCTTCAGTACTTAATGAAGCTGCCCGAGGAAAAAGAAGGTCAGTCATAATCAGGTGTTCATTGTTGAATCTGAAAGCTGCAGAGGTGCAGAAGACCAGACGGGTCATCCTCAGAGCACATGGTACATCTTAGAAGGGATTTTATAAGTAACTTAATAATTTTTATGTGATGGTGTGCTTTCTCAAATCCTTACAGAAAATGGTAAGTAGGATTTCTCCTTGCCTCTCCTCACACATTGGCATTGACTTTTTTGTTTAAATTTATTTATTTAAATTCAAGTTAGTTAACATACAGTGTAGTATTGGTTTCAGGAGTAGAACCCAGTGATTCATCACATATGTAACACCCAGTGCTTATCCCAACAAGTGCCCTCCTTAGTGCCCATCACCGATTTAACACATCCCCCCTACCCACCTCCCCTCCAGCAACCCTCAGTTTGTTCTCTCTTTAAGAGTCTTTCATGGTTGGTCTCCCTCTCTTCTTTTTATCTCATTTTCCCTTCTCATCCCTTTTGTTCAGCTGTTTTGTTTCTTAAATTCCACATGTGAGTGAAATCATATGACATATGTCTTTTCTCTGCTTGACTTCCTTCTCTTAGCCTGATACACTCTAGTTCCATCCATGTTGTTGTAAATGGCAAGGTTTCATTCTTTTTGATCACCCAGTAGCATTCCATTATGTGTATATCTACATCTTCCTTATCCGTTTGTCAGTTGGACATTTGGGCTCTTCCATACTTTGGCTACTGTTGATAGTGCTGCTATGAACATTGGGGTACATGTGCCCCTTCGAATCAGCACATTGGCTTTTATACCTCTGTCCTTTTGTGTGGATGTGTTGGCTCTGGAGTGTTACAGGTATATCCAGGATGAATTGTAGTAAAATGACAGCAGGTTAGCAGCAACGTATTAGCTGTGTCTTAACTTCTCATTAGAATATTGGTGAAGACGTTGACAGGAAAAAAAAACAAAAAAACAGGTGCCACAACTTTGGTAACTAAATATTAAATTTTTACCATATATGTGAGTCTTGAAAAAAATTCCACTAATTGCAGCACCAGTTAGACTGGTTTAAGAAAGGGTTTGATGTGTTCTTAGTTCTCTGCCCTTTGAAACAGAGCAGCAAGGAGCATTGGAGACTGTTTTCTGTGTGGCCAGCTGTTTGGCCAGGCTTGTGGTCCCACAGTCTGCTTAGGTTTGGCCGGGACAGACCAGGAGCCTGGAGAGCCGTGTGTGGTGACTGCTTACGGGAGAAACCTTCAGTTTGAGTCACTCTCTAGGACAGTGAGTGGTTTTTAAGTGGCCCACTGTGGACTCCCCAATCACTGCACCCTCAAACCCTTTTATATTAGATAAATTCGGATATAGGATTCTACAGAGTTTTAGAACATACATCTTTAAACTTTGAGAATTAAATGTTGAAGGCTAGAGATGACCCTCCTTCAGACTGTTGTGAGCCAACATGTAAATACTTCTGAGGCTTCAGAATTGGGAATGGAGGCAACATTTAAAGGTTCCTTTTTAAATGTCTTTGTCTTTCATTTGCTTGTCTCAGTTGTCCTGTTTTTTGTTTGTTTTTGTCTTACTCTCTTCTCTGGGCTCTTGGATACTTTGTTGGTAAATACGCGTCTTTCACTAATTCAGGAGAGGAAAAGCGGGGTGTGACAGATTCACAAATTCCTCGCAAAATCGTATCCCTTTTACTCTGCTCATTATGTCTGTGTCTGTAAAGATTCTGCTTGAAGATGAGTGACGTCACTTGTCCTTGTTGCTCTTTTTCAGAAGCTGTTTCCAAAGCAGCATCAACTAAAAGTGAATCACAAGAAGAGGTGCTACAGATTTTTAATATAGACACTCACACGAGCAAGCAGCTGCGGCATTTTAAATTTTTGTCCGTGTCCTTCATGTCTCAGCTCCTGGCTTCTAACAATTTTATCAGAAAGGTGATGTGTTCTTTTTTTTTTTTTTTTTTTTTTTTTTCAACGTTTTTATTTTATTTTTGGGACAGAGAGAGACAGAGCATGAACGGGGGAGGGGCAGAGAGAGAGGGAGACACAGAATCGGAAACAGGCTCCAGGCTCTGAGCCATCAGCCCAGAGCCCGACGCGGGGCTCGAACTCCCGGACCGCGAGATCGTGACCTGGCTGAAGTCGGACGCCAACCGACTGCGCCACCCAGGCGCCCCTGATGTGTTCTTTTAAATGTGTTTATGACAAGATGATTTTGCTTTTTCTAAAGGAACTATCTTTTAAGCTAGTAAAAATAGATTGGCAAATATGAAAACATGAGGCATGCCTTTAAAGATAATAGAAAAAAATCAGGGGTGCCTGGGTGATTCAGTTGGTTAAGCGTCCAACTTCGGCTCAGGTCGTGATCTCACAGTTCTAGCCCCACATCGGGCTCTGTGCTGACAGCTCAGAGCCTGGAGCCTGCTTCGGATTCTGTGTGTGTGTCTCTCTCTGCCCCTCCCCTGCTCATGCTCTCTCTCTGCCTCAAAAATAAATAGAACATTAAAAAAAAAAAAAAAAAGATAATAGGAAAAAAACAGAGCGTACCTGAACCATTTGGCATGATCTGGTGAGGCTGTACATGTATCAACCCTGCGACTCAATAATTCCATCTCAAGTGGTACACAGGCATATTGCACGTTTTACTGGGCTTCGCAGATAGTGTGCGTTTTACAAATCATAGGCCTGTAGTAACTCTGCATCAGGCAAGTCTCCCAGCACCATTTTTTCAATAGCAGTTAGTCATTGCATGTCTCTCTGTCACCAGATTTTTTCATTATATCTGTTACGGTGATCTGTGGTAACTGATTATGACTTGCTGAAAGCTCGGATGGTGGTTAACATTTTTAGCAATAAGATATTTTTTAAGGTACATAACATGGGTTTTTTTTTGTTTTGTTTTTTTTTTGATATAATGCTATTGCACATGTAATAGGCTATAGTTAGTGTAAATACAACTTTTTTTTAAAGTTTATTTTGAGAGAGAGAGAGCGCGAGTCGGGGAGGGGCAGAGAGAGAGGGAGAGAGAGAATCCCAAGCAGGCTCCATAACGTCAGCTCAGAGCCCAACGCGGCACTCGAATCCATGAACTGTGAGATCATGACCTGAGTTGAAGTCTTACACTTAACTGACGAAGCTACCCAGGTGCCACTAAATGTAACTTTTGTATGCACTGGGAAACTGAAAAACTTACTTGACTTGCTTTATTGTGATACTCTCTTTATTGTGGTGGTCTTGAACTGAACCTGCAGTGTCTTCAAGGTATGCCTATATACCCAGCAGAATGTATGAGCATAGGCACTAAAAGACGTCTACAAGAACGTTCATGAAAGCAGTATTTGTGGTAGCCCAGAACTAGCAACAAGCCAAGTGTGTATCAACAGTGGAGTGGATAAAGGGTCTGTCATCAAAAATGGACATGAGGGAATCTCATAAAGGTAATGTTGAAAGAAGACAGGCAGACACAAAAGAATATATCCTATGATTCTAGTTGTATAAACTTTAAAAACAGGCAGAACAAATCTAGGGTTGTAGAAGTAAGGACAGTGTTTACCTTTGGGAAGGAGGGAATAAGCAATAGTGAGGGTCCAATAGAGGAAGGATTCTGGAATGCTTATAAGAGCCTTTAATAGGCTCTTTTCTTTACCTGAATATAATGAGCTCTATATGTGTGATTTGTATGCCTTCCTGTTTGTGCGTTAAACTTTAAACAGAGAAGAAGGAAATACAGAAAATGAAGACCTAAAGAAACAGAGAAGGATCAGGAACATCAGAATGGTTGAACATTAATAAGAAAGTCTGAGTTGTGGTCTCCTGCGTGAGCAGGTCAACGGGAAACCATGTGATCATCGAAGTATCTGTAGAAAAATAATGTAATAAATTCAGTACTTATGATTTAAGGAAAAATCCTCTTAGCAACCAAGATAGATGGGAACTTCCTAATGAAGTTCTGGCCTAATGAAGATACCAGAAACTGCTTTACATCACCTTTCATAATGAGACAGACTTTATAAAGTCTGGAACAAGGATATCCTGTCATTGTTTCTGTTCAGCAAAAGAACGATGTGTAAGAATCCGAAAACAATCAGCAAACTCCTAGAACAAATGATTCGTTCAGGTAGCTTGCTTGATAGGGATAAGTGTAGACCCTGCTCTGTCTCAAGTGAGCTTGCCAAGGACAGTGGTGGTGCCAGGTCAGTCAGGGGGGTCGGTGTGACCGTGTCCGGTCTGTCTAGACACATACCCTGTGCACATGGAAGAAATGCTTTCATGTGGAAGGGGCATTACAGAGTAGTTAGGAAAAGAGAACTGTCCAGTTACTAGAATGGGCTTGATTTGTTTTCCATGTGGGGAAAGACTGGCCTCATACCACATACAAAAGACAATCTTAGGTAGGTTAAAAAATTACTTCAGTGTGATTTTAGATAGATTAAAAAATTACTCTTTCAGTGTGAAAAGGAACACTTAGAAGGAAATGAGAACATTGTTACCAGAGGAACACAGAGGAATTTCTTTAAAAGTGCATTTCAACAAAAAGCCACCATAAACAAAATGAAAAGAAAGCCACAGACATAAATTAAAAAGTATCAGTTCCGGGGCGCCTGGGTGGTGCAGTCAGTTGAGCGTCCGACTTCAGCCAGGTCACGATCTCGCGGTCCGGGAGTTCGAGCCCCGCGTCAGGCTCTGGGCTGATGGCTCAGAGCCTGGAGCCTGTTTCCAATTCTGTGTCTCCCTCTCTCTCTGCCCCTCCCCCGTTCATGCTCTGTCTCTCTCTGTCCCAAAAATAAATAAACGTTGAAAAAAAAAAAAAAAAAAGTATCAGTTCCTATGAGAACATCTGGCAAAGAACATGAATTCACAACAAACGGCTAATATTAACATACAACAAGGTAACCTCTCTAGTAAGGAAGGGAATTGCAGATTAAATACGATGCCACTATGATGTCCTATCAAACTGGCAAAAGTTTAAAAGCGCTTAATAGCAGGAAGTGGCAAGGCTGTGGGGACACAGTTATTTGTGTACCCCACTGTGGGTTAGGTCTCCGGATGGCCGCTTCAGAAAGCGAGCAGTCAGCGGTCTCCAGTCAGGTTGGAGATGCGCATCTCTTGTGATCTAGCCGTTCCCTTTCTGGGGTATATGCTCTACAGAAAAGTGCCTGCTTGTTCAAGGAGACATATAAAAATGTTCTTTTCTAATGTCTTTACTGACAGAAAAATGGACGTAAACTAAACATCCATAGTAAACAGATGGATGAGCAGATATGCCATGGTGTGTACCGTGATGTATGCAAGGAGTGTTAAATGAACACTAGAACGACATACATCTCTGTAGATAGATCTCAGAGCTCTGATACTTCCAGAAAAGCATGTTGCTGACTGTGGTGTAAACTCCGACATTTAACGGCAGGTTCAAGTTTGTGGGGCTGGGGGCACTTAACCAAGGGAAGGGATGAGAGAGGTAGGGATTACGCTGGTATCTGTAACGTTCATAATGTCATGCAGTTACTAGGAGCTAATGGAAGCATTTCATAAAATTAGTGGGTAAACGAGTATAGATGGCTGTATTTTTCTGAATCTTTCTAGTACTTACAGAAATCACAGGTATCCATAGAGTATAATCACTCTGAGTAGAATAACGAAAGGGAATAGAGTTACTACAGTTTGATGGGGAAGGTCTCAACCTGATTAAATTGTACGGTCAGAAAACGGTCCCTGGGAGGTTTTTTTTTTTTTTTTAATTTTTTTTTTTCAACGTTTATTTATTTATTTGGGACAGAGAGAGAGACAGAGCATGAATGGGGGAGGGGCAGAGAGAGAGAGGGAGACACAGAATCGGAAACAGGCTCCAGGCTCCGAGCCATCAGCCCAGAGCCCGACGCGGGGCTCGAACTCACAGAGCGCGAGATCGTGACCTGGCTGAAGTCGGACGCTTAACCGACTGCGCCACCCAGGCGCCCCGGTCCCTGGGAGGTTTGAATTGAATAGTCTTACAGATGAGTTTCACTGTATATACTTCAAATGATTTTTTTTTTATATCTAGCTTGCATACTGCTCTGATGATGTTTTCTTTAAAAATTAGGTGGTTGAAAGTGGTGGTCCTCAGGTTTTAAAAGGCCTTGAACAGAGGTATGTTACTTTTTAAATTTTTTAAAAAATTTTTATTTGGAAATAATTTCCAACTTTTTAACAAAATGCTGGAAGAGTAGTGGACAGAACTCTCATATAAGTCTCCTTTGTTTTAGGTTGCTAGAAACAGTTCTTGGCTATATTAATGCTGTAGCACAGTCCATGGAGAAAAATGCAGACAAGCTAACTGTGAAGTTTTGGCGGGCACTGCTTAGTAAAGCTTACGACATGTTAGATAAGGTAGGCTTCCATTTCTCCCCATCCACTGTGTTTTGCTGTTTTTATGTCATCGTGAAACTATTTGATAGAAAGTTTTACTTTAGGAATAAACTTAGTGATAGTTTTTCTTACCATAATGCAGCTCACATTTTTCTCGGAAAAGAGTCTCTTGATGGCTGGAGATAAATTCATCTGAAAATGATTATTTACCTACAAATTATGAGAGCATGTGCTTCACTAAAAATGATACTTTAAGATTGAGTCATCTAATACTGTATAATATTCTACTTTATGCAGTGGAATAGAAGAAAAATATCTTTTTAGGTAGCGTATGTGGGATATTAGAAATATCACTGGCCTTGACATTAGGATCCCTGTTCAAAATCTAGCTATAAGACTTTGAGCAGTTCACTTAGTGTTAGCATCGGCGTTTCTTGTTTGTTTGCTTCTTTTGTTTCCCTTTAAATGTGGTTAGTAATGTCTACCTGAAAGGTTAGTGTAAGAAGTTAAAAGGGCATAAACTGCCTGGAACCTAGAAGGTATGCAGCAAATAGAAATCAGTCTTAATCTGAATGGATCTTCCCTTTTTAAAATTTTTTTTGTTCAATGTAAAACTACTGTCTAGGTCAATGCCTTGCTGCCCACGGAAACCTTCATAGCTGTGATCAGAGGGCTGCTGGGTAACCCGCTGCCATCTGTCCGCCGGAAAGCACTGGATCTTTTGAACAACAAACTACAGCAGCATACATCCTGGAAAAAGACCATTGTAAGTGAAGACCGTCCGTCGTACCCACTCACCACTCTGCTTTATCAAAGAGCTGCATTTTAACTCCCTTGAGTTTGTCGCTTCCCTGAGTGCTACGATTTAAATAAGTATAGTAGTATTTGAATATGATGCCAGTAGACGTGTTTCTAAAATGTGATGTTAATTCTAATAGGAATTGGGATAAGAGTTCTTAGAATGGAATCACAGCCTAATAGAGTTGTTGCTAATTTGGACCCTACGTTGTCTTAGCTTTAGCATGATCTAATCCTCTTTTACTCCAGACCAGTGGATGCATTACGTAAATACGTCCCAAATGGGTCACAAGCACATACGCTGGCTCCGTGGTGAAGAAGGCAGATAGAGAAACAGTTGCTTGTGTATAATCGTGTGGCACAGGGCCTCAGGCAGTCGCAAGCAGTAAAAAATGGAAAAGACGGACTAGTATGTTTTTTCTGCAGCTCTAATTATTTAAAATTTTTGGCTGACCTCTTCAGGTTTATCGTTTCCTAAAACTGGTTCCAGTCCTTTTGGCCATTGTGCAGCATAAAAAAAAGACGGAAGAACAAGCAATAAACAGACAGACAGCTTTATATACTCTAAAGCTTTTATGTAAGAATTTTGGTGCAGAAAATCCAGAGCCTTTTGTCCCTGTGCTGAGCACTGCTGTGAAACTGATTGCACCAGAAACAAAAGAAGAGAAGAATGTCTTGGGAAGTGCCCTGCTGTGCGTGGCAGAGGTGACCTCCACCCTGGAGGCGCTGGCCATCCCTCAGCTTCCCAGGTATGCTGATTAGGACCTGGAACAAGAGCCATCATGTGGGGTTTCTGGTACAAATTGAAAAATAATACCTTAGCAATTTTTTTTTTTTTTTTTTTTTTTTTTTTTTTTTTTTTTTTTTTTTTTTTTTTTTTTGCCTCTCAGTAGAGGTTACATAAGATTAGATTTGTTAAAGATTTAATTTTTTCTTCAAACTAAAAACCACTAATTAAAAACTTTCTAATTTCCTTTATGATGTTTGTTGCCTTCCACTTTTCACTCCCCCTTGGCCAGCTGTAACTAGGAAGCAAGGGGTGAAGCCCCACGATGGGTGTTCCATCTGTTTGGGCAAAAGCTGCCTCGTGCAGCCGAGGTTCAGAGTTGAATGCTCCTGACTTTCCCCCTTGGCTTTGGTATTTTCTAGCTGTGCAACCCTGGGCAGGTTACTTGGTCTGTTAGAGCTTTGCCATCTCTAAAACCGAGACCAGACCAACTTAATGGGATTCCGGTGGGGGGTGCACGTAAGGCTTTTTGCACAGCGCCTAACACGTAGGAAGCATTAAATTGAAAGTCCCTGTTATTTTTTAATTTTTTTTTTTTTTCAACGTTTATTTATTTGTGGGACAGAGAGAAACAGAGCATGAACGGGGGAGGGGCAGAGAGAGAGGGAGACACAGAATCGGAAACAGGCTCCAGGCTCTGAGCCATCAGCCCAGAGCCCGACGCGGGGCTCGAACTCACGGACCGCGAGATCGTGACCTGGCTGAAGTCGGACGCTTAACCGACTGCGCCACCCAGGCGCCCCTAAAGTCCCTGTTATTTTTTAAAATGACTGAGTAACTATTGCTACTGGGAGGTTTCTTGCTCTGAGTCTCATAAAATGTGTAGACACGTTTTGTCAGCTGTGACATAGCATGATGTAGCGGGCACAGTTATTAGGAGTTTTGCATAGTGACTTCTCCATTCTCTGTTCTTAAAGTTACTCTCAAACTCTTGCTTTTTTATATTTAGCCTGATGCCATCATTGCTGACAACAATGAAAAACACCAGTGAGCTGGTTTCCGGTGAAGTCTATCTGCTTAGTGCTTTGGCGGCCCTGCAGAAGGTTGTGGAGACCCTCCCACATTTCATCAGCCCTTACCTAGAAGGTGTCCTGTCCCAGGTGAGCCACTACCTCAACATGCTATGCCCGTTTTCTCTCCCATCATCCCTCCTGCTTGGTCATGACGTTGAAATGGTCATCGCTTTCTTCTTATAAGGCTCATCTCTTTTTTGATTTTGCAGAATGTGTTTTATTGCCTTTCTCTCCCCTCCATGAGATCGTTCGTGTTGGGCTGGAGCTGCCTTTTATTACTTGTAGAAACTTGTGTGTCCTATTTGCTTCTAATGTAAAGGGTTTTTTAATCCTAAGGTGTCTTTCAAAATCAGAATCCCTCTATTGCTGTTCAGTGGTTACTTGGCACATCGGCAGTGGGCAAGGGGCATTTCTAACTGACAGTGCCTCAGAACGATCCTCACTCTGTTCTGTTGTACTGGTCATTTGCCATTATGAGGTTAGGAGCTTCAACTGCCATGATGAAAATAATTTAGCTGATTCACACACTCTTGTAGCCAGGGCTTGAAGGTAGACTTTTTATAGAAAGGGACCCCTACATCTGAGGAGGTTTGTAGATAGATTTTTTAGCAAGAACAAACACACTTGGCTCTTCTCATGGTCTCTGGATTCCTGTCCTCTTTAAAAACAAAAAACCCATCAGTCTGAGTGCTCTGTGTTCTTCTGCCTTCCACCATTTACCTGCATCCCTGACTCCACTTGGGGAAGAGGCATCTGTTCATTTGTATCTACAGATGTTCAAGACTGCTTTGAAAGGAATTCTGTGAAGCGATAGTGCTCCGAGCTTTCCCCAGCCGCTAGCCTCTGGGTTGACTTCTGTAAGTGTGCAGACATTGTCAGTGAGTTCTCATATTGGCTTTGGTCATGGTTTCTGTATTCCTATAGGTGGTTCATTTGGAGAAAATCACTGGTGGAATGGGTTCTGCCTCACAAGCTAATATCCGCATCATGTCCCTTAAAAAGACACTGGCTACCACACTGTCACCCCGAGTCTTACTGCCAGCGATCAACAAAACGTACAAACAAATTGAGAAGAACTGGAAGGTTAGATCATACTGGGTTTTAGACTTTGGAGAGGGGAGATGTGGTACTGAAATTTCTAAGTTTTCACTTAAGAGGATGGTTATTTAATTGGTAAACGCACTAATGAACTCGGAATATTTAAAATCGGCATGTCTCTTTACTGTGTTACTGGTAGAAGCACATGCGTCCATTTATGAGCATCTTGCAAGAGCACATTGGGGTCATGAAGAAGGAAGAGCTCACCTCCCATCAGGCTCCACTAACCGTGTTTTTTCTGGAAGCCTTGGACTTCCGAGCACAGCACTCTGAAGTAAGCTTATTTCCACTTCCCCAGATCCTAAAGTTATCTATTTGTTTAAGAGCCAGAGAAAAATCTAGCTGTGTAATCTGTTTTACTTGCCAAAGTTATTTAGAGCTGCATGTTAGTAATCTGGCTAATCTTCTGTTTTTTAGGATGATCTGGAGGAAATTGGAAAGACCGAAAATTGTATCATTGACTGTCTAGTAGCCATGGTGGTGAAACTTTCTGAAGTCACGTTCAGGCCCTTGTTCTTTAAAGTAAGCTTGCTCCTTCCACGTCTCCTTTGTACCCGTACGTAAGTGTTACGAGATATGTAGAATAAACTAATATTACTTTATCTTTTTAGCTGTTTGATTGGGCTAAAACAGAGGATGCCCCGAAGGACAGACTTTTGACATTTTACAACTTGGCAGATAACATTGCTGAAAAACTTAAAGGGCTCTTTACTCTGTTCGCTGGCCACTTGGTGAAGCCTTTTGCTGACACCTTGAACCAGGTGAACATCTCCAAAACAGGTTGGTAGCGGACTCCAGTCGATACCTTTGCTCTGTGTACCTTACACAAGGCACAGTAGGTACAGTAAGCATAAGGAGGGTGAAGGTTTTACTTCATAATCAGTCAGCAGGCACTGAAGTCTTTGCTTGAGCAGAATGAAAACATGTTAATAACAATTGACTCACTTAGAAGTAAAAGTAAGGTAAATGGTGTGTGCTACTCTAAGTTATTGGAAGTAACTTTAAAATGTTAAGATTTAAGATTGGTGTTTTCTTTACTGCTCATAAGCAACCCACTTGACAAGTGGTAATTTAACTTGCCAAACTAAGTGATCTAAACTGAGAATCTTGACTCCTACAGGAGCCACTTACCCGAGAGCTGCCCATTTTATGTCATGTCTTCATCCTGATTTTCTGTATTGTTTTAGAAATATTCTTCTGACTGTAGTGTTAATAGTGATTTGAATTTAAACATTGGAGGTTAAATTGTGAAAATCAACTGTTTTTTCACTTTTACTCTTCCCATCTACAGATGAAGCGTTTTTTGACTCTGACAATGACCCTGAAAAGTGCTGCTTGCTATTGCAGTTTATTTTGAACTGTTTATATAAAATCTTCCTTTTTGATACTCAGCATTTTCTCAGTAAAGAGAGAGCAGAAGCCTTGATGATGCCCCTGGTGGACCAGGTAACCACAAGGAACCCATCTTTTTGACAAAGATGAGGAAATTGCCATCACTGTTAAATTTTTTTGTTAATTTTATTTAAATCCAAGTTCGTTAACATGTAGCGTAATAAGGTTTCAGTAGAATCTAGCGATTCATCACTTATATACAACACCCAGTGCTCATCCCAACAAGTGCCCTCCTCAGTGCCCATCACCCATGTAGCCCATCCCTAACCCTCTTTCCCTCCAGCAACCTTCAGTTTGTTCTCTGTATTTAAAAGTCTCTTATGCTTTGCATCCCTGTTTTTATCTTGTTCTTCCTTCTCTTCCCCTGTGTTCATCTGTTGTGTTTCTTAAATTACACATGGAGGTGAAATCATATGATACTTACCTTTCTCTGACTTCTTCCGCTTAGCATGATACTCTCTAGTTCCATCCACGTTATTGCAAATGGCAAGATTTCATTCTTTTTGATTCACTGTTAAATTTTTACTAGATTTATATCTACTAAAATTAGAGCTTGCTGGGCTTTCTTCTCCAGGCTTTTTTTTTAATGAAATTTTTATTTCAAAATTTTTTTATTTTTAATGTACAGAACTTATCTTCATAGTGGCATACACCAGGTTTTACTTTTGAAGGTTTCAAATGGAAGGCAGGATATAAGGACTCATGGTTAGATTTTTAATTTTCTAAAATTGGATTTATTGAGAATGTTTTAGGACTGGGCCGCCATCTGGAAGAACGCCTCTCAGCTGTTCTCCTGGAGGGAGGGGTGACGCTAAGGGCCAGGACAGTCTGCCTCGGCTCCAAAAGGTGGTAAATTTGCTCTAGAGAGTGTTAGAATTACACACCTGGCCATCGAGCCTGCTGATATGAAAAAACAAGTTTATTTATACATTGGGAATTTTTCAGACAGAAAACTTGTTGCTCAGAGTCCCTGTCTCCCTCATAGCTAGAAAACAGGCTGGGAGGAGAAGAACGGTTCCAGGAGCGAGTGACAAAGCACCTCATCCCGTGCATAGCGCAGTTTTCCGTGGCTGTGGCAGACGACTCTCTTTGGAAACCACTGAACTACCAGATTCTGCTGAAGACGAGAGACTCCTCACCCAAGGTGGGCGCTGTGGTCGACAGGCACCGAAGCTGCGTGCATTCCCCATATAAACCAAACAGTCCCAAAGCGGTCGTGGCTGTAGGCCCATGGTAAACTAGCTGCTTGTCTTCTAGGACCGGAGGTTGCTCTTTGGGGCAGAAGTTTGAGCCTGAGAAACGTTTGGCTTTTACTTAAAGGCTGTTTATAAATAATAGAAGTCCTCTCCCCCACCCCCACGGTGTGTTAGACGCAAGTAGTGACATATTTAAATGTCTTTGTGCTCCCAGAGACTGTCTTTCAGTCTGTTCACAGAACATTCCTTTGAGCTAGAGCAATGGATTATCTCCGTCATGTGTATCAGGCTTAGGATTTTGTGAAATAATGGAAAATAAGGAGTGGTGGACACTCAACTCACGTGGGCGAGGATGAACGAAGTTACAGTCCCCTGCCTGCGTCTCAATTTCCAGTCACCAGTTCTCAGTCTAATTAGCATACGAGAACCTCAGTGAATAAAGCAGACCGAAGCAGAATTTTGTCAAAAGATTTATTACTTGAAATATATAACATTTATTACAGGAGAGAACAATGAGGCTATTTTCATGAACCCCCAGATTTTACATTGTAGGTTCTTACAAGCTTATAGCATTAAATTTGTCTTAATGTTTTGTTTTGAATGTACAATATCAGAAAAAGTCTGGCTTGAACATAGGTAGTTCATAGGCTTTTTAAAGAAATCATTTTGCTTTATCCAAATATTTTTTTTTTAATTGTCCAAAACCGGAAAGAGGATTAGTACAGCTTTTGTTTCAAAGTGAACCACTAACAGAGCCAGACCACTGCTTGCATTCCATAGACCAGAAATATGAGAGAATATATGAATTAGGTACATGAAATAGGAATAGAGAAACACCCAGACTTTTTTTAAGTTCCCAGATCCGGAAGTCACAATACATTATTTTTAATTCCGTGCTGAATGCCCGGCCCCTCCCACCACTGTAGTCAGGAGGGAGGGGTCCTGCCTGAGGGGGCCAGGCTGGCCTCATCGCCCACAGCCCAGCAAACCCATGAGCTTCAGTGAACATAAACTTGATTACATACTTGAGTCTGTGTGTGCCTTTTTGATTGTTGTTTTTAAAGGAAAATGTTAGAAAAAGGTATTCACATTAAGCCGTGCAGTACTGTAGGACACTTTAAAAAACACTGGTTTGTATAAGGTTGCCCGTATTATAAACAGACCCCAAGTTGTTAAATAAATTGGTGTTCTGAGATGGAAGTGGAGTGGACAGAGGGGGAACCAATTCGTTTAAAAAGTCAGAGCCTGTCTCAAGTTAGACAGTTGTGAGGTATAAATGTAGCAGTGCTAGTCTTGGGCGGGGGAGGGGGGGGAGGGGTTAAATCCTCTTTCTTTACCTTTTTATCTCTTTCAGGTTCGATTTGCTGCTCTGATTACAGTATTAGCACTGGCTGAAAAACTAAAGGAGAATTACCTTGTCTTGCTACCAGAGTCCATTCCTTTCTTAGCTGAATTGATGGAAGGTAATTCCTAAACTACTAAGAAATAATGGCAGTAAAATTCTGTGAAAATGTGCCCAGTGATCATGGAAATTTGGATAGAACCCCATCCTCTGCCCCCTCCACGTCTCACATTGCAGACAGGAGGCGGGGTGCCTGTTTTGAGTAGGGTTGAGAGACCATATTAGGTGGCCACCCCACGATCATCTGAAACTTGTCTACAAGGAAATCTCCACCACCTTTACTTTTGCGTTTATTGATGTTTCTCATTGTATTCATACATTTATATGATTATTTTAGTCCCCATAGATTTACTGTGTCAGAAGTGCCAGTAAGATCACAGTAGATTAGCTACCTGTTAATACCAGCCAACATTTCCTCCATGCTCTGCCTGGAGGATCTCATTCAGTCCTCACGATGTGTGTGCCATTATCCCTGTTTTATAAAGGAAGAAACTAGAGGCTTTCAAAGGATTTTGATAAACTAACAAAGTGAGTGTGACGGGTGTTCAGGCCAGGTTTGCAGAGTTCTGGGCGTGGCGAACACCCTGCCACCAGGCCGCACGAATCAGCAGGGGTGAGGAGGCAAGCAGACAAGTGCTCGTCTACAAGTACATGCCCCGGTGTCTCTTGCGGCCTAGAGCATGGGCGTCACTAGAAGTTGGGATTCCCACTGTGTACTGCTCTTTCGGGGGCTGCAAGGAGGGTGCCGTGCTTTCTGCTTCGTGGGCAGGTTTCATTTCTGTCCTTTGACTGATCGGTGGCCAGACGATGCAAGAGCTGAAGAATTAGACTAACGGTAACTGAGGCAGTTTTTATTCTTATGTTTAGATGAATGTGAAGAAGTGGAGCGTCAGTGCCAGAGGACCGTCCAGCAGCTGGAGGCCGTACTGGGGGAGCCACTCCAGAGCTACTTCTAAGACTCCAGGTTTCGGGGCTTTCTTACTCTGTTCAGAGGTCGGATTTATTCATGTTTTTATTTGTGGGTGTTTGGTACCATATTACTTTTGGTGCCCTCACCCCTGCGCGGACTTCTGTATGAAACCAGCTGGCGTGCTGCCCTCCCGCCCCTTGTATGGAACTGCAGTAAGAGTAAACGATGCCTATTTTTATACAGACTGCTGTTTGTCTAAGCATTTGTCACAGTCTTTTCTGATTGAGGTTATTGATATCGCAGACCTGGTTAATTTTAGCACTCAAAGGTAAAAGCACCTCATCTTTAGACAGTTAAAGCCTTAACTTTTCCCGTAAAGGGATATCTTACGTACGTGGTATCCATGTTGGATTTCATTCAAGGTAGCTCTTCGAGAAAGTGACAGTTACTCAGCACCAATGCTTTGGACTATAAAGCTATTTGGAATACTTTTCACATTTTGGGTAGATGATACTTCAGCCATAATTTTTGTGCGTGGCCACAGTGGGAATTAGTTCTGGAATGCATTTTCTACTTAGGACTATGATGGTCTTCTGTACCCTTCAGTCTTTTTTGGTGGGGGCAGAGGCAATAGGCTCTCAGAACCCAGATAGAAAAGGCCCAGAAACACTAGGTGGCATGGCTCCTCCAGAATTAGAAATGGTCAGACTTCCCCTGATGGTAATTCAAGAATTACTTGTATGAGAAAGTATCAAATTTTTTTTT